GGCAGATGCTTTAAATTAGAAAAGCATTTTGGTAAGGAGTTAGAGTGGTAAGAAGTTATGGTCTTAAATGATCTTTTAACATTTTTAAAAGAAACCTCAGGGACTAGAGAGGTGGCTCCTTGGTTAAGAGTACTTGCTGCTCCTGCAAAGGACCCAGGTTCATTCAGTTCCCAGCATCCACAGGGCAGCACCTGTAACTCCAGTTTCAGGAAATCTGACCTCTCTTCTAACCTCCATGTGATCCTGCATACACATTGTGCACATACATATGCTCAGGCACCTATGCATGCATGCACACACACAATTTTTAAAAATAAATGAGACTTGAAATAGAAGTGTTCAGATATTTGAAAGAGATGATTTCAGACAGAGGCCTTCATTTTCAGTTGGTATTGTATATTCAGAGGATAAAATCACCTTTTCTTTTTATTAAAAAAAAAGTCCCAAATAGTTTAGTCTTTTGCTTCACAATCTTTTTTCTTTAAGATTTTTATTTTATGGATATGAGTATTTTGCCTGAGTGTATGTAAGTGTGTGCAGTGCCTGTGGACTTCAAGAGAGAGTATCAAATCCCCTGGAACTGTAGTTATACCCAGCTCTTAGCTACCATGGAGGTGCCAGGAACCAAATTTGGGTCCTCTGCAAGAATAAGTGCTTTTAACCGATGAGCCATCTCTCCAGCCCCAACTTCATAATATTAGAAATAGAAAGCAAGTGGAGGTAGCAGGTAATATTTTCCAAAGCATTTAATCAGACAAACATGTTTGGTTATTTCTGAGGAATATATGAATTCCAGAATAATTGCCAGTTTAATGGGCTTTTGCAAATTCTGGGCTCATGAAAATTGAGAATAGGATGGTAGGCAGTGGGAACAACAAAGAGCATATATCTTAAAGACTCTGGGTGCCGACAGATAGGAACCAGCCTAAGTTAAGGTGGAGATGTATCACAGAGCCATGAGTGTATTTCACAGCCAACTCACAGACCCTGAACTGAAATCAAGAATTAGAAGTCATCAAAAACTAAGGTAGTTCTCCTGCTTGACTGTGGACTCTGATGGGAAGGTAGATGTAGAGCAAAGAAGGGAAGGCAGTTATGGCTGTTGACTTGAGCCTGAGGGTTGTGAAGATAACAGGATCCATGACATGAGTAGAGAACCTGGACAAAATAGCTTTAAAGGAAAAGATGGGCCAGCAAAGGCAGCAGAGCTTTGTGAGTTCCAGGGCAGCCTGGGCTACTACAGAGTTCCAGGCCAGCCAGGGCTATATAGTGAATCTCTGTCTCAAAAAGGAAAAAAGAGTTTCACTTGCTAAATATGGGTGTGAAGTCATCAGTCAAAATAGAGATGGATTTCATACAAGGTCATTGGAGACTATTGTGTCACTTTTCCTGGGAAGGCATGAAGAAAAATCTATACCCAAGAGCACCTACAGACCAGAGAGAAATCCCACCCCAGTCAGTTCTTTACCATTTATATATATGGGAGGCAAGAGTCTGGTGGAGTTTTCACCCTTTCCCTTCCACCCACCCCTTCCCTCAATGAGAGAATATTAATGAGCCCTGGGTTTGTATTACATACAAAATTGCCTTTTATTAGCATAGAGCTACAATGTGGTATAGTTTCCTTCCTAATTAATGAAAAGTTGATAAGCACTCTAGTTGTTTGGGTTTTGTTGTTTGGTTAAGACCTTGACTTTTCAGTGTAGCTCTGGCCAGCCTGGAATTTAAAAAGCAGGTGACCATCTGCAAGTGAGCAGTAAGAACACAGGCATGCCAGAGTAAACAGCTGCCTTCTAGGACTCAAAAGCTGCTGTGTTGAAAGCTCATTTCCACTTTTCTCAGCATAAACTGTCACTTTTTCCAGGCTTTGATGGGCTAACAGAACAGTGAGTTTAAGCCATGCTAAAGTTCTCTCTCCCCAAAATGTCCAAGTCAGTGAAATCTTAACCAATCCCCTTAATTGTGCACTTTAAAATCATTTTTTTCGTTTTTAACCATTCAGCTTTATTTCAGATCATGTCCCACAAGCATCCGTTAGAAAGGGTCTGAGCCCATGCTCCAGGGTGGGCAACCGGGGCAGGACAGTGGCCCTGAGGTGGCCAGGCCATTTGTTCAGGTTCATTTGACCATGGGTAATGCACACAAGGATGCCCCCTGCATTCAGTCCAGGTGCACTCATGAGCTTTCCCTCAGCATCAGTGTAGGAACAGCTCCTCCTGCTGACTCAACTGTATTGAGTTTGAGTGAAATGGAAATGTTAAAATGTAGAAACAGCCCTCATGTTTACTGTTCCAAACCACTCCTGTGGTAAGCATAGGTGGTTAGGGGCCCTGGTAAGCTGTACCTCAAAGGAAATCTGGGGTTCATAAAAGGAGACAGCTCTACTCGAGCAAAATAGGGTCATTTCTGCTGAGACTGAGGTAGCACTACAAGCTAGAGGCTGCATAGGACAGGGGTGGCATCTTACTCTTCCAGCTCCACCACCTAGTCAAATAGGACCGGGTGGCAGGACAGGGACATGTTCGATTACTCAAAGCACTTTAAGATGCCAATAAAGTAGACCTGGGCAATCCCAAAGAGGGGCGCTATGACAAGGGCCCAGCAGCCTGCTCCCTTCATGAAGGCAGCTGGTCCCTCCTGAGTCCAGAGCTTCCTGGCACAGTGGGCGACTCCACTATAGGTGTCCTCACTCAGCCCTTTCTTGAGGTTTGGATTTGAGTTTTCAGAACGTCCAGAGGGGTAGCAGCCACAGAGCCTGCAGTGCAGCCCACCAGGAAGGAATGCACGAAGAGGGCCTTGCCAGTGTACTCGCTCACCCCCAGCTGGTTCAGGTGGGCAAACAAGAGAAAGTAGAGGACGGAGAAGGGGTTGTCTCTGAGGAGAGTGGCACCCAGGCCCCTGTAGAGACCTTCTAGGCCCTGAGTCCGGAGCAGCAGCTCCTGGGCAGTGATGGTTGCTGATGGGTGCCCTTGAATTCAGCTGACTCTTGTAGGGCCAGGAGGTAGGAGGGGTTGCGACGGAGCCCTGATGACAGACAGCTAAGAAACTAACCCTGTTTTCGGCTACTCACCAGAACCACCTCTGCCTGCCCAGCGGTCCCCAGGAACTTCAGCAATCCCATTCCTCACCAGCCTCCCAGTAAAGTCCTCTGGCTGCCTCCTGTTTCTATTTCAGATGGTTTCATCCTTTTAGCATTTTGGAACAGAAATCCCGTGTATCTGCACTTTGAAAATCTAATCCCACATGTACTCAGTCTAGCTACCCTCCATTCCTTCAGTGTGTAATCTAGTGTGCAATCTTTCCTCCATTAACAGGCCCCACAGTCCCTCACTGATTGTGCTGAGATAACCTAGTTAACCATGGCTTCACAGCTAGGAGAAACTAAGACTGTAAGCAGGGAGGGAAGTGCTTGCTTTTACAAGGAATTAGCTGCTTCCACAACCTCTGAAGATGCAGAGATGTCTCTAAAACCAAAATCCTAAGGGGCACCCATCCACGTTTGAAAGCTTCATGCCTTCCCAACCAGAACCTTGACTGCATAACAGTGGCTAGGCTGAGCATCCCAACAGCTCTACCTAGAGTTCTGTAGCCCTCAAACCCCATGCCTACCCTTCCACTGCAAGAAGTCTCTTTGTTGAACTCAAGAGCACCCCTCGGTCCTAAATTTAGCTTCTGAAGTACATTCAGTATCTCGTCTGCAGTCTCCAATGATTTCTTCCATATTTTTCAGGTGCCTTAGTTATTCTATAGGCAGTACGATTCCCCTCCTTTAGAATGTTTTAAGCCAGTAACTGGTGTGGTCGGCACCAAGATGGCCATATTTGGCCAGAAACTTAAAACCATTCCCCAAACCCCACCTTGCTGTTTTCTTCCATTATTCAGCGTACCACCTGTCAGTTCTGGTCCTCAGAGAAGCAGAAGCCAAGAAGGGATTGCAGTTGGCCTCCATATCTTTTAAGATTTTATGTGTTTATGTGTATGAGTGTTTTGCCTGCATGCATGTAAATGTACCACATGTGTGCCTGGTGCCTGCAGAGGCCAGAAGAGGATCTGGATCCTTTTTTTTTTTTTTTCACTGCTTTTTATTATTTTTAAAATATATTTAAACAGCAATCACTTCCAATATGCAAAAAATTGCAATTTTTAGAATAAAATAACATTTATAATGCAGGTCAGAAAGAATTGAAGGTACAACTGAGAATCGAACATGCAGCACTGAAAGCAGCTAAAAACATCCAAGGCCCACTAGGACCAGTTGGCGTGAGGTCAATTTGTGAGGTTCCCACCCCCAAGTCATGCCCCCCAACTACGCATTGATGGAGCCAGTGTCCTCTGGGTCAGAGAAGGAAAAGCAGCAAAGAGATGGCCCTGTGTAGGGGATTCTCCTAAACCCAGTCCCTCCATCAGCCAGGGACCCACTATGTGAGTTCTGTGAATCAAACCCAGGGCCTCTGCAAGAGCAGTAAGTGCTCTTAACTGCTAAGCCATCTCTCCAGCCCCACAGCATCTCTCCAGCTCCAGAAAATGTTGGTATTTTTTAATATTTTATTTTCATTTTACGTGTATGAGTGTATTGCATGTGAGTGCACCTGTGTGTGTCATGCAATGCTGCAGAGGTCAGAAGAGAGCTTCAGAGTCCCCTGGAATTGGAGTCCAGGTCAGGTCCTTCTTTTTTTTTTTTTTTTTTTTTTTTTTTTTTTTTTTTTTAAAAAAAAAAAAAAAAAAAAAAAAAAGAGGACGATAAACTATGTAAACCAGGCTGGCCTTCAACTTACAGAGATCTGCCTGCCTCTGCTTCCCAAGTGCTGGGATTAAAGGCGTGCACCACCATGCCAGGCAAGTTCCTTTTTTATTTATTTTTAAATTTAATGTTTTATTATTTTTATGTGTATGCGTGTATTGCCTGCATGTAGGTAAGTGCACCTGTGTCATGCAATTCCCACGGAGGACAGAAGAGGCTGGAGTTACAGACAGTTGTTAGCTGCCATGTGATGTGGGTGCTGGGATTTGAAACCCGGGTCTTCTGCAAGAACAGTCAGTATTATCCACTAAGCCATCTCTCCAGCCCCAAGGTCCTTTTTTAAAAGCCTCTGTGGGGCAGGAGAGATGGCTTCACAGTAAAGAGCAAGCTCAGTTCTCAGCAATCATGTTGGACAACACAGAACTGCCTCTAACTCCAATTCCAGAGCATCTGGTGCCTTCTGGCCTCCGTGGGCACCTTCACTCACATGCATATACCCATACATGGACACACATAAATTTTTAAAAGCTAAAACCTTTTGAAAAGCCTATGCTAAACATTATTTTGTCATTATGCATTCCCTAAACAATACAGTATAACTATGTTTAATTTAATGTAGCAATAGGCATTATCTAGAGATTATGTATATTATACTGGAAGACATGATGATAGGGTATATGCAAAATATATGCCATTTTATATAAAGGGCTTTATAGCATATATAGATTTTGGTATTCACAGGGGTCTTGAAATTAATCATTCCATTTGACAGGAGACAATATATACATATGTCTATATTTGCAGATGGACAAACTATGCAACAAGATATTTTATGAAGCCCATTGGAAAAGAAAAATGTTCAAAAATTATTTCAAGATGATGTTAGTAGCATTAAACCAAGTATACGACTATATAGGTCTCACATCAGGAAGCTGGCCCTGCTCCAGCATCACACACAAAAGCGGGAGTGGGAGTGGAGTGGGGAGTGAGGGAGTAAAACTGATTCCAGGAGTAAAACTGGGTAAGGGACAAGAGCCCAAGAGACTTTGCATTATAGATCTTTGTCTTTTGAAGTTTTTTACATATAAAAACATTACTTGTCAAAACAATGGAGCCTTTGCAGTAGATCAAAGATGCCTCCTTGAAGAAACTTCTATAGGGTGAAGAGTGGTTACAGTGCCTTCCAACTGGAGCATGCCCTGAAGCGTGTGCTGTTGAGTGCTGTGCTGCTCTAGCTTGTCTCTGCATCTCCCCTCAGGTCAGATGTCCCTGGAATGGACACGTGCACCTGTACTCGCTCTAGTAAGTAAACACTGGACACCCTGAAATTCCCTGTCCTAAAGGTAAAGTGGGCTTCCAAGATCCACCCAGTGCTCTTTCTAAGGTCTGTTCTCCTGAAGAGTGAGCAAGGGGTGGGTATATTCATGGTATATAGATGGCTTGGGACGCTAGGGGGTCCTCTAACACGTGGCTCAAAAACTGGGCAAAGCGTTCCCTGAAACTATCAAACCAAGTATTTTCCTCAGTTCCAAGTACACATTTTATCCCTATCATCACGGGAATATAACTCAAGTTCCTTTTATCATAGATATGTCTTGATATGTAGCCTTGGTTGACATCGACCTCGCGGAGATCCTGCATCAACATCCCCAAGTGCTGGAATTAAAAGCCTGTACCATGACGGAGGGTTATTTTCCGAGGTCCCTCCCTTACACATTTAAAACGCAATTTGGAATCCAATTTCAAAATCTTTTTTTTCTTTCAATCAGGCTCCTATTGTCCCCAAGTCGGGCACATCCCCACCTTTATTGGTGGAGAGTGACCACACAACTAATCTGGTCAAAACATAAGCACGCTTTGACAATCCGGTTGAATAACAACTACAACTCCCAAAATGCACCGCGGGTCAACATGGGCACCTTGCCGGTTTCCTCCTCTCCCGTTTTGGGGTAGTTAGCCTGGAGCTTGGACCAGCTAAGGGATTGACTGTACAAACGAAGAAGCGGACTGAACTTCACGGCCGCGACCTCGGATGCGTTGCTCGCACCATCGAGCATGAACCAGCTCAAAATGCAAGAAATGCGCGCCAGAGAAACTGAGTCATGGAAACTGCTCTGAGGGGCCAGAAAGGTTGGCGCGTCACTCCCCTCATCTTAATCGCGGCTCGGTCTCTTCCGGGAACACAAACAGCTTCTCCAGGCCGGTAACTACGAGGCTAACGGCAGAACGCTTTGGCGGGAACTAAGGAGCTTCCAAGCAGAAACTTCAGCTCGCTGCCGTGGAACGCTCCGGAGCACACACCCAACAGATCCCATAACGCGTTCCTACGGGTGACCCGCCTCGGCCTCCGTCCTCGCAGAAGGTTGACAGGGTGAGTCTCCAGTAAAGGCCGCGAGCGCACTTCTTTCCATCTTGCTTCTGACCAGTCAGAGGACTTCTCAGAGCCGCTTTCTTCTTTTCTTAGAGCCAGTCGAGAGCTTACGACCGGACTGCAACCCTACAAATCCCGGAGAGCAGCTCGGCGGACGCAGCGTTCCACTAAGGCACTCTTACGGTACAAGCGGGAAAGCTCGCGAGAAGTTCCCGCCCAACCGAGATCCTGCGCCAGGAGCCGAGGCCGAAAGAGGAAGCCCACCCCGACACCACCCCCTTTGTAGGCTTCATCGCGAGAACGCCGAGCTTTGGTGCTTGGAAAGCGCGTACTGAGGAAAAGGTGCTGTGTTTTGGACTCGTCGGCCGCCGTAGCCCCTGCTAGGCCAGCCCGTGTGAGTCTGCTGGAAGAGGAAGAGAAAGGCAGAGAGAGTCGGATTACAAGATGGCGGATCTGTAGTAGTTACCGCGGCGGTGGCGGCGGCGGCGAGAGAGCGAGCGAGCTCTGGGGGGCAAAGGGAGGGAAGGGGAGTTGTGTGCCGCGTCGAAGGGAGGGGGAACGGAGACCCGAGCGGAGGGCTCTCGGTGGCTCTTGTCACCCCTTCTCGTGGCTGAACCTTTGGCGCCATGGTAAACTCGGGCCTCTCCAAAGCCGCCACCGCCGCTACCGGCTCTCAAGAGTGAGGGGTGCGAGCGAGGTGAGCAAGGAGGTGGCGGCCGGAGCGGTGGGGACAGCGGCCACCATGTCGGATACAAGGCGGCGAGTGAAAGTCTATACCCTGAACGAAGACCGGCAATGGGACGACCGAGGCACCGGGCACGTCTCCTCCACTTACGTAGAGGAGCTCAAGGGGATGTCGCTGCTGGTCCGGGCAGAGTCCGACGGTAAGGGGAACGGAACGGTGGCGCAGGGGACAGTGCCTTGGGTTGGGACAGCCTGTGGTCTAGGCCCCGGCGTGTCACTCCCACCGAGCAGCTCCGGGACAGCGCAGTGGTCCTGAGCTTGCTCCTCTGATAAAAACAAACTACTGGGCCTGTATCTGGCAGACGTGGACTCTCAGTTCTCCGCCTCCATCCCTATTAAGGACTTGACTCCTTCCTCTCCAACCCTGCCCCTTTGATGAGGTTTAATGTGAGGGAATGAGAAGGAAGTAGAGAGGAACAGTAACCTCGCCTCGGAGAACTGACACCCCTTTAGGTACATTGTTGTCCGTTATACGTGTCTAGTATAAAAGGCTTAGTGAAACTTTCTGGGTGCCTTTTTAAAAAACAAACCGATTTCAGTTGTTGCTGGCGACAGGTGCTAGGAGAAAAGAAAACGTACTTTTTCCTTGGAGTTACTACAGACTGTTGCCACGATACATGCACACACAAGTACACACGCCTTTAAGTCTTGGATCCCTCCAGGCTGCCTTTGTAGAGGGTGCTAGGAAGAGGTGGTTACCTTCATCTCAGCAAGTTGGGACGCCAGAGCACGCTGTAAACTCCTATTCTTGATTGCACAAAGTCGTGTGAAGTGTTTTAATATAGAAAACCCAGAGCTGTAATTAAGACCACATTTACCGTGTTCGCAGTTAGAACTTAAAATTGGAGCAGCTGATAACTGATATTATGTATAGAATGGAAGAATAACAGCCTCAGACAAATTTTGTACTCCTACAGTTTCCCTTTTGTTGGTCAAAAACATTAGGTATCTTTTGTTTCTACTGTTAGGGAAAGGATGAATGTAATTTGTGCAGTCTCTCCGAGTTCTCATAATTTGTTTTGTTAATGAATGGATGAAACAACTTTTGTTAAAATGAAGTTAGTTTTCAAATGGTCATTTAGACTTTAAAAGATTCATTTTAATATAACTAATAATTTTCTTATAGCCTGAATGTTGGTTTCAGATGGGTCCCCACCCAATACCCCTCCCCCCAATATGAGGATAGGATGAAATATTCTAAATATGTAGCCTAGACCTGGAGGAAAAAAAATATGAATTAAAATACAATGTTCAGTTCAAATGTTCAGTTGAAGAGAAATGTAATGTTTGTCAAGTATGTCTTGTATTTTATTCAAGATTTTATAATTTGAGACTTACATCTTTTTTTAAAAAAATCTTTCAGGATCACTACTCTTGGAATCAAAGATAAATCCAAACACTGCATATCAGAAACAGCAGGCAAGTAGTTGTTTATCTTTAATTTGAAAGACATCTGTAATCCAGGAAGTATTAATCTGACAAAGATGGAAATACTTTCCAGACAAGATAAAAATATTTGGTAAATAAAGGTAGAAACCATGTGTATTTACCTTCCAGATTGAAAGTTTCACACTGAAAAGTGGAAGTTTTTATTGTTGGTAACTTAATCTTTGAATTGAGCACTGTTTGTATTAGAATACAATGTTTGTTAGTCTTATTTAACTAAAGTAAGCCTTGTCTCTTCTATACCCTGTGCACTAAGCCTTTTATTCTGAGTCACAGTTGAAAAAAAAAAAATGGCTTAAAAAAGAAAATTCAGACTGTTAATTACTACCATTAAAAAATTCAAAGGAGTGCTTTTTAAAATAAGGAAAGCCTGTTGTGTAAAATTTAAACCTTTGACTCAAAGAGTTTAAGCATTTAAGTTTTGTTTTTTATTGTATGTGTATTTTTAATTTAATCAATGGATACTTTTAAACTGTACACATTGATAATTATGTAACATTTTCTGTTAGTATTTATTGTCATTTTGGGAAAGAAAAATCTATGTTGTGAATAGTGTAGTGGATACTGTAATAGGTTCTTGTAATACCATCAGATTTAACATATTAACATTATATACGTATTTGTTTCAAATCTTTTTGTGATGTTCAACATTATGGATAGAGTTAAATACCCCCCTCCCCTTTGTATCCATCCCATTTTGTCCATTTTCTATCCTCCCTGTAGGTAACCCTATTCTGAAATCGATGTATATTCTTTTTGTACTTGCTTTGATCCTTTTTTTGCATATGTATGTATCCATAAATAATTTGTAGTCCTTTGTGTGTTTTTAAACTTTATTGATATCATACTTTTACGTGTATTCTGAAACTTGGATTTTTCACTCTTTTTTTTTGGAAAATTTTATTCATGTTAATGTAGATACCCATTTTTAAATGCTGTATTATATTTCAATGTATGCTATACGCCTATGAGACATTTGAATTATTTCCATTGTGTGCGTGTGTGTGTGTGTGAGAGAGAGAGAGAGAGAGAGAGAGAGAGAGAGAGAGATAAAGATAAAGTGAATATGCCAGAGATTTTTGAAGGAAAAGAGCAATTATTTTTAGGTTTGTATTTATAGGATCAAGTGTACCTGTCTTCAAGATCTGTGAAATTTTGGATGTCATAGCCTTCACAGAAGAATAAAATTACATCTATTGCACGGCTTATTATTAGTACAAGCTTTCCAGTAAACAATTGTTTTATGCATGCAGCATTCTTAGTCCTTTAGAATAGTCTAAATATTTTAGTATTCAACTGATAGATTTTCCTCTTAGAAATTTTTTTTGGTGAAGAATCAAAACATTTGTCTTGAACATCTGAAGATGTTTCCCCATATCTTAGATATGGTTAAGATAGATATAATTTCTAACTCCACTAGACAGACTGTCTTTGCCCTGAGTTTTACAAGATAAGCACTTGGAGTGTTTGCTTGTTTGCTTGCTTATTTGTGGAGAAATACTAATATATTGTCATCATTTTTTTCTCCTACCAACATGATTATAAAATAAGGAAATTTCCTCTTAAATATATGTGACTACTAATTCATAAGCAGTTCCCTGCATATTTAGTTAAGATATGAATTCTTCTCAGCTTGTGTAAGTGATCTTTTAACTGCTATTACTTTTGAAAAGATTATATTATGCAGAAGTTTATAAAACAATCCTCCAACATGTTAAAAATACACAGTGGATTTTTGGACACGTACAAATCTTGGAAGTATACTTTCATATATAATATTACTCTGCTAGAAAACTAGTTCTGGGGTCTGGAGAGATGGGTCAGCAGTTAAGAGCACTGGCTGCTCTTGTAGAGGATTTAGGTTCGGTTCCCAGCACCTACATGGCTGCTAACAGCCATCCATAACTCCAGCTCCAGGGGATTCAAAGCCCTCTTCTGATCTCTGCAGGCACTGAACAACATCGGTGCACTTACATATCTGCAGCAATATACTCACATTAAATTTAAAAGAAAACTAGTTTTGGAGAATTTACATTTTTGTATACAATAATATGTCTCCTTGTGTAGCCCTGGTTGGATTGGAACTCAACAGAGATCCACCTGCCTCTGCCATCTTAGTCCTGGGTTTAAAGACATACTACCATGCTTGGCAAAAAGAATTTTTTTTTTTTTATAGTTTATTTTTATTTTCTGTTTATGCTTGGATTGCCTGCATGTAGGTAAATACACCCGTGTTGTGCAATGCCTGTGGAGGACAGAAGAGGCCGTCAGATCCCCTGGAACTGGAGTTACAGACAGTTGTTAGCTGTCATGTGGGTGCTGGGATTCGAAACATTGGAAGAAAGAAAATTATTACATAATACAGTATGAAACAAAATACCTGATAGGTGTGTCAGATTTTAAATTCTTTAAAATTAACCCCACTGTTCTTGTATAAATCAAAAGCCAGAGTCATAGAGATTAACCTAATATGTGTAACACAGTTGTTTATTCAGTGTTTTAAGAGAGAACACCTCACCTCACTTTTGCTGAAAGACAGGTAACCACAAATGAAACAATGATAGAATAATAGGATAGCTAATGAAATTTCTTAGCCTAGTCCTCACTGAAAATGCGTGAAAGCACTTCATAGGGAGGCAGCTAAGGTACAGAAATGTCAAGAATGGGAATGTAGAGCAGGTGTGTGCCAACACAAAATATTATAAACAGAAAACTTGTATTCCACAGCCACAGGCAGTAGAAAAGTAGAGACAGAAGAAATTGATAGAGGCCAGAATCATTAAGATGGCCCAGTATTAAGCTCTGAATTCACCTAATTTTTAAGTGTATGGTTTTGAGCAAACTTTCTCTGTACCTTATCTTTTGCTACTGTTGTTGCTTTTTTGAGGCAAGGTCTCATCATTTAGTCCAGGTTGGCCTTGAACTTCCCTCAGCCTTCATGAGTGCTGGGATTATAGGCCTGCACCACTCTGCCCAGCTTGAAAGTCATATTTTAAAATGACCATCTATCTCATATACATAAGCTAACATATGAAAAATGCTTTTTTTTTTTTTCTTTTTGGTCTTTTTGAGACAGGGTCTCCCTGTAGCCCTAGCTGTCCTGGAACTCACTATGTAGACCAGGCTGGCCTTGAACTCACAGAGGTCATCCTGCCTCTGCCTCCTGAGTCCTGGGATTAAAGCATGGGCCACCATGCCCTGCTGAAAAATACTTTCTAAAGAATTATTTTTTTAATTTAATGTGTATGAATGAATGTGTTTTGCCTGTATGTATATAAGTACACCATCTGTATGCAAACCCACAGAGACAAGAAGAGGGAGCAAATCCCCTGGACCTGGAGTTATGGATGATTGTTAGCTACCATGTGGGTGCTGGGAACTGAACCTGGGTCCTCTGGAAGAGCACCCACTGCTCTTAACCACTGAGCCATCTCTCCAGCCCTGGAAAAATACTTTTTAACACAGTGCCTAACACATAAAAATTGAATTCATAATCTGGTCCTGATTATAAGATGATGTTCTGCCAATGAGGAAAGATCAAAAAGGTAAAATTTTTGTTGACGGCCCTAAAAAAGTAAATAGTGAAGCTGTCAGTAGTACTCAGGTTCTAATTCTAATCTATACTTATGGTATAAAATAATCAGATTTACCTTTAATCCCAGTACTCGGGAGGCAGAGAGAGGCAGACAGAGCTCTATGAGTTCAAGGCCAGCCTGGTCTACATAGTGAGTTCCAGGACAGCTGGGGCTACAGGGAGACCATGTCTCAAAAAGACCAAAAAATAATAATAATCAAATTTAGAGACTAAGATATTACTATTTATAAACAGTATCATCATGTCTATACATTGTATCAGAAAACGTGCCAAGGGGAAGAACTACTACAAGCCTGTAGATGCATTGTTTGTTTAATCTTATTTTTTAGACTTTTTAAGTTTTGTTTTTTAATTTCTTTTTTTAATATTTTATTATTTTAATTTTATGTGTATGAGTGTATTCCTTGCATGTATGTAAGTGTGCCTGTGTTGTGCAATGCCTGCAGAGGTCAGAAGAGGGCATCAGATCCCCTGGAACTGGAGTTATGGAGGATTGTTAGCTGCCATGTGGGCCCTCTGCAAGAGCAGCCAGTGCTCTTTGCTGAGCCATCTCTCCAGCCCTTTGATTTTGATTTTGATTTTAAATGGTACTTTGATGTATATTATGTACACACAACACACATGTACACGCTCACATTCTCCTTTTTGGAAAAATCTCAAGTCTGTTGAATTTTGTCATAGTACTGTGGGACAGTATAATCTGGCAAGGAGTAGACTCAAATATTTTATGACTGGCTTATTCATATTAAGGAAGTAGACCAGTACATTATGAGATGTTACAAATACCAGTGAATATGATTTTTAAAACTGGAGTATCAATGGTTAAATTTTGAATACAATTTTAAGATGCCATTTAGACTTTTGATTAAGAACCCATTAGTTGGGCCAGGTATGGTGGTGCATAGGGTAAATCCTAGCCCTTGGAAGGCAGAGGCAGGCAGATCTCTCCTAAGTTCCAGGCCAACCAGGGATATATAGTGAGACCTTGTCTCAAAAAAAAAAAAAAAAAATTTAGCAGGGCATGGTGGCATATTCTTTAATCCCAGCACCTGGAAGGCAGAGGCAGATGGAGCTCTGAGTTCAAGGCATGCTGGGCCTACAGAGAAACCCTGTCTCAAAAAAGATAAAAACAACAAAAATAAATAATATTCAGCTCTGAAATAGTTTTTAGTAGAATATTTTTTATTTTTGACACACACACGATGTATTTAGATCATATCCAAGCCAAGTATCCCTACCCCTCCCCCCATAATACTTCATTTCACCTTTATGCCCTTTTTTAATACATATAACTCATTAGTTCCAATTTATGCTGCATGCATTTGGATAGATCTACTGGAGTATGCTACCAACCTACCATGCTCACCAAGAAAAATGACACCCCTTTACTCCCAATCCTCCAGCAGCCATCAGCTGCCGACAACTCCTCAGAGTAGAGTAGTTTGTTGAGACAGCATCTCACTGTAGCCCAGGCTGGCCTCAGAGCAATCATCATGCTTCAGCTTTCCAAGTTGCTAGTATTACAAGCATGAGCCACTGTTCACAGTTGTGATGTTAGTATATAAAACAAGTCCATTTCTTAGAATAAAGCTGTGTTATGATAGCAAGTTTTGCGATGGACCAAGTTGTCAAGTTTCCATGGACTGTTTTATACGTATCCTAGTCTTGGGCACTTTTTCTTAGTTTTAAAGGACTCCATTAAATACAATCTTTTATTGCTGTTTCTGAGGTAGTGCCTTTCTCTGCAGTCCTGGCCAGCTTTGAACTTTCTCATACATCCCTCTGCCTGTAGACGTGCACTCCCACACTTAGCTGGATGTTGGTCTCCATAACTGACTTTTCTGCTCTTCTTGTGAGCTCATTTAGAACCTGATTTCTATAGGGATACAATAATGATAAAACATTTTAGTTTTGAAACTGTAAACTTCTTTTGGTTCAAACAGAAACATTAATAATATCCCAAAGAGATTAGACTTTGCCGCATACAACTAAGCAGATAATGTAACAAAACAAAGCACAGTATAAAACACTTTACTATGAAAATCAGAGCCTGGTTGTACCTAGGCTTTTTGGATTTGCTGAAGACCCTGCATTTGATACTTTGCATTCTGTTTTAGGATTTTTTGTCATTTCTGTACTCTCTCCTCTAGGAGCTTTTAACTCTGACCCATGGGATACTTTTAAGTAGTGCATCTTCCTAGAGGTGCGTGTGGGAAGGGTAGACTGATTTGTCATCCATTTTGAATAAATATATAGGACTAGAAGGGCCCTACTCTGTAACACTTCCCCCACCCCCATCTCCTTTTTTTAGATAGGGTCTCACTATGTAGCCTTGGCTATCCTAGAACTCACTATGTGGACCAAGCTGGCTTCAAACTCACAGAGACCCACCTGCTTACTTTAGCCTCCAACTCTGCCTCCCAAGTGCTCAGATAAAGGTGTACACCACCACACCTGGCTTCTAATATATTTTTGTATATAACAGGTAAGTAAATCATAGTATATGATTAAAGTTGGAAACCATTTTGAAACAGGGTCTTAAGAAGATGATTCAGACTGAGGAGAAAACAGGACCTGAGTGGGTGCCCAATGCTTTCATGGATCTGACTATAGTAGCTCTGCTTCTTTGTTTAGAACTTTGCTACTGGTTTTTCTTTCTTTCTTTCCTTTTTTTTTTTTTTTTTAAGACTTACTTTAGTTTTACTTGCATGTGTGTCTCTTTGTGTGTGTATGAGCACATGGGTGCCGATGTCCACAGAAGCCAAAAGAAGGCATCAGATCCCCTGGAGCTGGAAATACAGGTAGTTAATTGTGAGCCCCCCGTGTGGGTGCTGGGAACCAAACTCTAGTCTTCTCCAGTCCCTTCTGCTATTTAAAAAAAAAAATTTAATTTTTATTTTATGTGTATGTGGGTTTTGCCTGCATGTGTATAAGTGTGCCACATGCATGCAATGAAATGCCTATGGAGGCCAGAGGAATTATGTCATATCCCCTGAAACTGGAGTTACAGGCAGCTGTGAGCTGCTCTGTGGATTCTGGGAACCAATGGTATGTTTTTTTGTTTGACTTTTTGAGATAGGCTTCCATGTAACCCTGATTAACATCAGACTGCTTTGTAGCCCAGGATGGTCTATGAACTTGAACTTTTGGTTTTTGTTTTTACTTTGAGAATGGGTGTCCCTGTAGCCCCAGCTGGTCTGGACCTGGCGATGTAGACCAGGCTGGCCTAGATCTCACAGAGATCTGCCTGCCTCTGCCTAATTGTCTTCTGGGATTAAAGGCATCATGCACCACCACACCTAGTGTATGTGGAACTGGGGATTAAACCCAGGGCTCTAAGCATGCTAGACACTCTACCAACTGAGCTACATACCCAACCCTGGTTCATGTGTATTTTTGAAATCAAATTTTACTATGGTTCCTAAAAAGTTGTTTATTTAGATTACTACTTGGTGATTTTAATGTTTAATTTTATTATATGCATGTGTTTAAAACTCAAATCTCGGTTTCTAATTAAAGGTTTTGTCTACCTAACCTTTTTAAAGTAGGGGCAAAATTGAGGCTACTCCCTGAAGAATAAATTTTATTCTTTCTACAGCTTAAGCTGCTTATAGAACTACTTTTAACCAGTTGACAACCAATTAAAAAGGAATGATGGGTATTTAGGATGTTCATGATTGGAATGGCTGAGTTTTGGATGCAACAGAAAGTAGATGGTTGGAATGTCTACAGTCAAGAATGATTAGCCAAAACCAACGAACCTATTTTAGATCTATGTATTTTTGCTTCTTTAGAAGATTGTCCTGGGACTGGAGAGATGGCTCAGTGGTTAAGAGCACTGGCTATTCTTGCAAAAGACCCAGGTTTGAATTCCAGCACCCACTGGTAGCTAACGACCATCCTTAACTCCAGTTCTAGGGGATCCGACACCCTCTTCTGTCCTCTCTGGGCACTACACGACATGGGTGCACTAACACACATGGACTCCTACACATAAAATAAAAATAAACTGTAAAAAGAAGATTGTTCATGTCTTCTTTAATTCCAAAATTTCTATTTTGTTGGCAGTATATTACCAAAATTTCAAAGGGTAGAAAAATACTGTGCAGTTGTGTAGTGTCAGTTGGATGCATTTTACCTGTGCCAGTTCTCTTGATTTTTATTTGTACTTTATAGACATTTCTTTTCTAGTGTAGTGGTGTAGAAATCTTATTTCTTTTTTAACAGGATACATTAATTGTTTGGTCAGAAGCTGAGAACTATGACTTGGCTCTAAGCTTTCAGGAAAAAGCTGGCTGTGATGAGATCTGGGAAAAAATTTGTCAGGTAAGTTTCTTTCTATATTTATAATTATGACTGTGCACATTTTGATACCATAGCATGGATTTTGTGTGTTTTTCTAGTCCTGGGGATCCAACCCAGGGCCTCAGGCATATTAAGTAAGAACTCTGCCACTGACTATATCCCCAGTTATGGATATTTTTATATGCTATAACAAATTCTTTCACTTAAAATTAGTAATGGCACAAAAACCCATTGTTATAATTCCTTTACCACTTAGATTTTGATAGTATGTATTCATAATTGATACTCTAAAATGCTAAGATCCTTACACAGACCAAAAGATTAAATGATTATGTTCAGGCTTTTAGGCGTTTTTTTTTTTTTTTCCTCCTAATACTTGGACATGTGTTTGTCTAATGTGTTTTAATACTATATGACAGGCACTAATGATCAAAAGTACCTATGACTAGACTGGAGAGGTAACTCAGCAGCCAAGAGCACTGGATGCTCTTGCAGAGGACCTGGGTTCAGTTCCCAGCACCCACATGGTAGCTAACAACCATCTGTAACTCCAGTTTCAGGGGATCTAACTCCCTCTTTTGACCTCCAAGGGCATTGCACAACACAGGTGCATTTATATACATGCAGGCAATGCACTCAAAAAATTAAAATTATAACTATTTTTTAAGTACCTATGACTTCAGTATACATAGTACCTGCAGTTGCAATTCTTGGCAGGGGTTTTTGTTTTTGGGGTCTCACTATGTAACCCTGGCTGGCCTGGACCTTACTATGTAGTCCAGGTTGGCCTCGAACTCTGCCTATCTCTGCCTCCCAAGTGCTGCAATTAAAATTGCAAGCCACCACATCTGGCTTAACTGATTTTTCTTAAACTTTTTATTTTAGAATATTTTTAGATTTATTTTAAAAATGTGAACAAGGCTGGAAATTATAACCCAATTGATAAGAGTGTTTGCCTGGCATACAGGTGGCCCTGGGTTCAATTCCCAGCACTGCTTAAACCAAGTGTGGTGGCAAGAACCTATAATCCCAGGAATCAGGAGTTAAAGGCAAGAGGATCCAAAGTCCAAGGTCATTCTCAGCTTCAAGTTGAAATTGAGACCAGCCTGGGCTACATGAAACCATTTCAAAAAAAGAGAAAAAAATGTGAATTAGTAATAGAGTGCCTACATAACTACCTCCCTGACAACCTCCACCATCAGCTGCACTTAATGCAGCAAGACTAGCATCTCATATTAATATGGAACATTTGTTCCAATTAGTAAGCTAATATTAAATATTACTGTTACCTAAAGCCCATGCTCTCGGGATATTAAGAGTTCTTAGTTTTTCCTTAATGCTTCGTGTCTCATTATCTTCTTAGGCTTTTTTAGCGGTGATACTTACCTAAATTAATCATATAATTTATCTTACAATGAGAAATCAGTTTTATTGATTGCCTAATACAGTTCTTTATTTATGATGTATTGCTTTTATTGTTGGTTGGCTATTGTTATTTTCATTATAATGAGTTTTTTCTTCTGTGATTATGTTTGTTTCTTTCTCTCTTACTGGAGATAAGTCACCTAAGCTTGACTGACCTATAGTCTTCAGCCCCTCCAGAGGTCAAGGATGCTTCACAGTCCAAGGTCTCCCATCATCAACCACATTATTAGTGTAGAATAATGCAAGCCCCCAGGTAATTAGTCACTTTAAGATAAGATATTGCTGGCGCATAAAAGTTACTCCTCAGGAACTGGGCAAGGGCCAAACCTTTCTTTGAGCAAGGTCAGTCCCTTGGATAAGATGATGCTCTTCCACCAAACTCGATTTTGTAGTTAAAGCTGGCACTGAACTCCTGACCCTCCTGCCTCAGCTTCCTAAGTATTGAGTTTACATATGGGTGTGTAACCATGCCTGACTGCAAGGTATTTTTACTTATATTCAGTGATTTGATTTCCAGAATATTAAATAATTTTGTGTTTTAAGGTAACCAGTTGTACTTGGGTGTTTTAGGTTCAAGGTAAGGACCCATCAGTAGAAGTCACACAGGACCTCATTGATGAATCTGAAGAAGAACGATTTGAAGAAATGCCAGAAACTAGTCATCTAATTGACTTGCCCATGTGTGAACTCAGTAAACTTGAAGAGATTGCTGACTTAGTTACCTCAGTTCTCTCCTCACCTATCCGTAGGGAAAAACTGGCTCTGGCCTTGGAAAATGAAGGCTATATTAAAAAACTACTGCAGCTGTTCCAAGCTTGTGAGAACCTAGAAAATACTGAAGGCTTACACCATCTGTATGAAATTATTAGAGGAATTTTGTTCCTAAATAAGGCAACTCTTTTTGAAGTAATGTTTTCTGATGAGTGTATCATGGATGTCGTGGGATGCCTTGAATATGACCCTGCTTTGGCTCAGCCAAAGAGACATAGAGAATTCTTGACCAAAACTGCAAAGTTTAAGGAAGTTATACCAATAACAGACTCGGAACTAAGGCAAAAAATACATCAGACTTACAGGGTCCAGTACATTCAGGACATCATTTTACCCACACCATCTGTTTTTGAAGAGAATTTTCTTTCTACTCTTACGTCTTTTATTTTCTTCAACAAAGTTGAAATAGTCAGCATGTTACAGGTGAGTAAATCATTTTTCACAATTCTATTTTCAGAATTTAGTTCCTAATAATTTAAGCTGGTGTTGAAGATTTGTTTACATTAAATGTACTGTCAGGCATAGAAAATATAACTATCTTTTGACTTTATGAACTACAATTTTTTTAGTAAAACATACTTTTCTACTTTTTACTACATTATTTTGTGCATGTATGTGCATATGTGTGTGGGTTATAGTGTGTGTTTATGGAGGTCAGAGGACAGTTTATGGAGTTCATTTTCTTCCACTATGTGGATCCTAAGGATTGAACTAGGGTTCATCAGGATTGGTGGCAAGTACCTTTACCCACTGAGCCAGTTGGCTCTTTTTTTAAGTAGTTTATTTATTTTTATTTTATGTGTACAAATGTTGCCCATGGAGGCCAGAAGAGGGCATGAGATCCTCTGAAACTGGAGTTACAGGCTGTTGTTAGCCACCATGTAGGTGCTGGGAACCAAACACAAGTCTTCTGCAAGAGCAGTCAGTGCTCTTAACCACCGAGCCGTCTCACCACTGAGCCGTCTCCAGCCACTGTTTTGTTTTTATGAAACAGGGTCTCATGAAACCCAGGCTGTCTTTGAACTTACTGTGTAGACGAGGATGACTCTTAATCCTCCTGCCTCCACCTACTAACTACTGGGATTATGGGTGTTACCACTACTTCTGGCACTACTTGTCAGTTTTTCATTATTCTCTGGTAATGTGTAGACGGGAAGCTAAATGTACATATTAGGTTCCTTTTATGATACCTGGACCTGGGACTTTTTGTTGATTTGTCTTTCAGTTGTTGTTTTTTGGCTGGCCTTAAACTCAGGATCTTCCTGCAACAGTGTCCTGAGAGCTGTGATTTCAGTAGCTGTGGGCCCTGCTCTGCATTTCAAGATGCCATTTTATTTGCAGACAGAAAAATGATTACATTTTGAGGAAATTGGAAAGATGGTTACTATATACTATAGTTAATGTAAAGGGGCTAGTATCTTAGATGTAGCTTTCAAATGACTGCTTGACTTCAAAGGGGTTTCCATATCCATAGCAGTAAATCCTTACTTTTTATATTTAAAAACTATGATCTGGCGATTGCAGTTTAATAGTAAAGTGAATTCCGTAGCATGTGCAAGGCTCTCAGTTCAGTCCTTAGTACTGCCAAAAATAGCTAAAATACATTGTACCAACTAATACATAAGTATTTGTAAAACTTTGTATATTGTGTTCTATTTCTGTTTTACAGTAAGCTTATTTGTGAAATCTGTGATACAAATCAAGTGGAGCTTTTTATTCATTTCTGGTCCATGAAGTACATTTGTGAAATTGTCATGAACTATAACTATCTGTTGTTTGTCTAGGATTTACCTCTTAATTGTTTCTTACATGCCTAAAATGATGCTGAATTCTAGTTTCAAAAATGTAGAAGCAAAGAAATTGAGACTGTATCCAATTACTTGTAAATTTTAAGATGTCTTTATTATTTTTAATTATGTGTATGTGGGAAGGGGGTTTGTGTACCTATGTGCTAAAAAAGCCCAACTCTGAGGTTTCTGTGACAAAATTTTTGGCTAGATATTAAATGTTAACATATAACCTTCTGCCTCTGTAATATGCATACTTGTGTCTTTTCAAATGAATTTTAATGTCCTGTCATGTGAATTAAATGAGGTAAGTGAAATTGTACACTATTTATCTAACTGGTACATATAAGTTATAGACTGTTGTTAGCTGATAAATTGTGAAGTAAAAGCATCCACATAATTGTGGGCTCCTAGCATATATTCTAACATGTATTGATATTCTCAACTCATTAGAACATAAGATTTTTATTGTCAGTTTTCTAGCTACAGATTGAAACCTCTGCCTCAAATTGAGAAATATAGTTCAAACATGTTTTGTAAATTCCTAACAGGCAATAAAATAGGGATATTTCCATATAAAAAGCTACAGAGTAAGATCCTTTTCAGAAGAGAAAGTTTAAATTTCTCATCCTAGAAATGATAGAGGACAGCAGTCTCAAATTTTGATATTTTGTAATAAAGGTTGCATATATTCCCAATATCCAAAGGGAAGAGTTGAACTTAAAGCAAACTCAACAGCATTCATACTCTCTGTGTCTCTGTCTCTGTCTCTCTTAAATTAAAACAAACACACCAGCATTCATACTCTCTGTGTCTCTGTCTCTGTCTCTGTCTCTGTCTCTGTCTCTCTCTCTCTCTCTCTCTCTCTCTCTCTCTCTCTCTCTGTCTCTCTCTGTCTCTCTGTCTCTCTCAATAATAAGGTTTCAAAACTAAGAAATTTCTAATTTTTTGCTTTCCAATTACATATGTAAAGTGTTCAAGTGCCTCTTCAAAAAATGATGGGGGCCTGGAGAGCTGGTGCAGCCGTTAAAGGCTCAGGCTCACAGCCAAAAAGACAAAAATGATGTAATGTGTGGGTTTTTAACACTCACATTTTATGATTTGGTCCTTGATGTGTTCTGATTTTAAAAGTTTCTTTTTTAAAAAGTTTCTAAAATTATGTGTATTTATGTGTTTCTGTGTGTGGTTTTGCACACTTCTGCCATGGAGGCCAGAAGAGGGCATCAGATCTCCTGGAGCTGGAGTTCACTGGCAGGCAGTTATGTGCCCCCTGATGTGGGTGCTGCCGTACATGTGCTTAGCAACTGAGCCATCTCTGCATCCCCAGGAGTAACTTTTTAAAGGCTATCTATTTATGATATCTGGACCCTAACTCCATCTCTGTCGTTCAGTAGCTTCAGATAATCTGTCTCCCCAAATCTAAAACTAGACTAGGCAATTTCAAAGTAATGTTGTAAAGTCTGGTCACATTTATGTGATTCAAAAATGTCAGTTGTTCTGTTTGTTTTGCCTGGTTTTACATTTCTATAAAGAAAATAGCTTAATATAGACTTTTGGTTCTTTGTGTGAGTGTGTGTGCGTGTGTGTGTTTTGGTTTGTTTGTTTGTTTGTTTGTTTGTTTGTGGTGTGTGGGATCTAATTCATGGTTAGAAAAACTCTGTACCACTGAGCTATATCACCAGCTCTGATTTAGGTCTAGGCAACAGGTTATATTATCTAGAAAAGCAGCCACATACAATGTGACACAAATAATTGTGTCTTATTAAAACAAAAGCTCCTAATAAATAGAAAATAAAAACTAAAATCATCTACAGAAAGTATTTCAATGACTTAGAAAATCAGGATTTAGGAAAAACAGTCCAACCATATATACACTTTAAGTTTCTGCCTTAAAGACATGCAGGAGCAGATTATGTTTGTAGCTTAAAGAAATGATTCATGCTAGAAATTAGAAAAATATACTCAGAATCAGAAAGCATTTTTCTAATGAGCATACTTAAGATTGCCTTTATGCAAAATACATTTTGTATTTTGGGCTGTCACTTTAGTATTGATTCTTAGAAGAATTTAAGGAGGAAAGTTGCATTTATCAGGGCATTGGGACCTTTGAAAATATTCTGGAAAGTTAAAAAAAATTAGGCAGATATGTGGGAAGATAAATATAAATTGAGGAATTCATATTTATAGTTGTTACTATTTGACTTTTAGAACAAGCTACATTAATTAAACATAGTGGCCTGACTAGAAAAAAATTTAATATAATGGAGGATACCTAAGTTAGCACTTGTTTTTAATATCTCCAAGTCATCAGAATGCAGCGATTGTAGTGTTTATCATTTTATTTTATCCTTGGAGACTATAACATGCAATACTCTGCTCTGATTGGCTATAAATTAATATATTTATAAACTTCTTACATGTTAAAGTTCATCTTCCTTCATCACTGTACTTGTACAGCCCTGTCTTCTTTTTTCTGGTGTAATATGAACTGACAGTGAGAGCCTCAGACTTTGAGTTGTGTTTAAAAAATACTAGAATGAAAGTAAATTAATTTGCTGCACTACCTCTAGAACTTCTGATTTTGTTTTTCAGAGTTCTAAGATCTCTAGTTATGTATATATGTATAACTGAAATTGTATTTTTAAGTTTCAAAAAATTATAAATATATCCTCCAAGTAAGGTTTCATGATGAAAATAGTAATTATATGGTAATCTGCTTCTGTTATAATTTATGTAAATCATGTTTATAACTTTATACTTTTATTAATATTTCATATATAATTATTCTTATGCAGGAAGATGAAAAGTTTTTGTCTGAAGTTTTTGCACAATTAACAGATGAAGCTACAGATGATGATAAACGACGTGAGTTGGTAAGTTATTTATTCAGAGCTTCTAAAACTTGTTTTTATGTATTTCAGAACATTTTTAAGATATGTGTGTCATTTTCCCTCCATTCCATACCCCCCCATGGGGAAATTTGAATGCTCTATAAATCCCCAAATCAGTTAGATGTCTTATATCATGACAGAATTACAAACATACTTTGTGTGTGTGTTATGTGTGTATGTGTGTGTAGTTTTATTTATATTACAGAAATTTTTTAAGAAAAAAAAGATAGAAAATACTTCTTAAGTGAATGATAAATGGGATTTTTTGTGTTATTTTTGAAACAGGGTCTCATTGTATAGACCAGGGTGGCCTGGAACTCACAGAGAGCTGCCTCCCTCTCTAATGCTGGAATTAAAAGCATGTACCACCACACACAGCCTGTTTTGGTTTTTTAATATATTTATGGGAGAGTTTGGGGAAGTTTTGGTTTTTGCTGCTGTTTGCTTGTTTTTGCTTCTGTTTTGAGAGATGACTGTTTTAGGGAAAAGAATAGCAATCACTGCCAGATGTTTGACTTCTTTTCAAACATAATCAGTTTTGGGATTTTTATAAATATAAGTTTATTGACTTAAAATCATTGTCATCATTTGTGTAGTTATTTAATAAACTATTCAGTCTCCTGATTGTCAGATTAGTATTTTGAAGTGAAGACTCTGCTGTCCTTGCCAGTTCTTCAAATTTTGTTTTTCAAGGTTCCCCGGTAATCAAATCCAGCCACATTTTATTATAGGATTTTTTTTTTAACTCATAGGACATTTATCTCAAATACAAGTGACAAAGTCAGAAAACATAAAAATTGAAAGAACACTATACAGTGTTTTGAGTACTTTAAATCAATGTGTCATGTAAATGTGACATGATTAATATATTTAATATAATAACAGTGTATATATTTTGTTAATAGGCTATTCCTATAAAGTAAAATGTATAACAGGAAAGATAAATACATATCAACAAATGTATGTACATACATAAAGATTTCCTTTCACATTTGCTATCTTATGGGCAGTTTAGGTCATTATACATTAATCGTTTACATAAGAAGTTACTTTTTTACTGAAATGTTTTTATTGCATTTTTATGCATTTCGTATATTAGATCTTAATCAAATTTATTCCCCCTCCCCCATCTGTCCCCCAACACACACACTGGATTTCATGTATTCTATCATGTATGTTAAGTCCTATCCAGTCAGGCATTTGAACCCATATGTCCCTCGGTGCTAAGGTTGGGGCCTGCTGCCCATTTCCCTCATTCTGTGCTGGGTTTTAGTCTGATTGAATTGGCATGGGTCTTTTGCTTGCTGTCACCATTATTGCAGTTCATATGAGCAAGTTGCCAGTAGCCTGAAAGCCTCTGTTTCCTTATGTTCATGCACCAACCCTGGCTCTTACAATCTTTCTGCCCCCTCTTCTGCAGTGGTCCCTGAGCCAAGAATAGGTGGGGTTTAATATAGGAGACCTATCCAGGGACACCCACTCTGCAGTCTCTTGTTCTCTAAAACTTAGTTGTGGCCTTCTGCATCGCATTTTGTTGTATGAGGAAACTTCCCTGGTGAAAGTTGAGGGATGTATTAGTATTCTCTCTACTCCCTGTTCCACTATGTTCCATGAGCCTTAGGTATAGAGGTTCCACTGTAGATGTGTCACTTAGGGCTAAGCATTTCTCAGATGTCTATTCTCTCTGTGTGACCAGTCGTGGAACTCTGTAATAGCCTCCATCTGTTGGAGAAGAAAGCTTCTTTGATGACTGGTGTAGAATATTCTTGTCAGGGTTGTAGGTGTGTCTATGTCAGGTAGATCAGGAGGCCAGGGGCAAGGTGGGGTTGGGGTCAGCCTGTGGAGGGTCTAGCAGACCACTCTAGAGGACTAAGCTAGTCTAGGTTAAGATACTAGTCAGGTTAGGAAGCTAGTCCAGAGATCTGAGGAAGAGGAGGATCCAGCCTGGGCCAATGGCTAGAAGTGGAATAGAGTGTGGGGAGAGTGGAGCTGCTCAGGCTGCAGAGAAATCAAGATACACTAGATGGGATCCGACTTAACATGGTAGTGGGTGGGTGTGTCTGGCAGGCAGATCAGGAGACCAGGGCAGGGTGGGGGTGGGGACAGCCTGTGGAAGGTCTATCAAACACAAGTTGTAGAACTGAGCTTGTCTGAGTACAGGGGATCAGTAGGCAGGTCTGGACTAAGGGTAGTCCAGAAATCTGGGGCAGAAAGAGCAGTAGTGGGCCTGGACCCAAGCAAGGCTTGAAGGGAGACCAAGCGCAGGGAGAGAGTGGAGCTGCCCAGGCCACAGGGGAATTAAGACACAGTAGATGGGATCCCTACATGACATTTTTGCACTGGAATATGTTTAGAGAGGATCGATATTTAAGAAGTAAAACTAATTAATTAGTTGGTGCTAGGGTTTGGGTTTGTTTGTTTTTCATTTATTTATTTTACATTTGAGAGAGTGGTACACATGCCACAATTCATGAAGTGGAGGTCAAAGGATAGCATGAGAAAGCTGGCTCTCTCCTTCTACCATGTGACTTCCAAGAATCAGGCCCAAGTTATCAGACTTGGCAGCAAGTGCCTTTACACACTGAGCCAGCCATCTTGTCCACCCTGCTTTTTGTTTTATAAAGGGACAAAGTTTGATATTAACTCCATGGCCAGGTTGGCCTCAAATTCATGATCCTCGTGCCTCAGCCTCCTGAGGGCTGGGAATATAGGTATATGCCACTACACTCAGCACTAGTTTTTAATATATTTTTAATAGAGATTTTTGAGAGGCCAGGATACATGAAAAAACAAGAACCTTCAGAGGGTGAATTCTCTACTCTGGTAGCTATCCTTAGAATGGTGCCAAATTTTATTTTCATGTTTACTGACATCTCACCTTAATTTTTAACCTTGCAGGTTAATTTTTTCAAGGAATTTTGTGCATTTTCTCAGACATTACAACCCCAGAACAGGGATGCTTTCTTCAAAACTTTGGCAAAATTGGGAATTCTTCCAGCTCTTGAAATTGTAATGGTAATTATGGTTTCTTTTCATGCTTTTGAAACTGAATTTGTTATAGTTTTATATGTGGATAGTAAAATACATATTACACTGCTGAATTTTATAATTTGGTTTACTATTTGTCTGATATTGAATCACCATGAGAATGATTTCAATTACCAGATTTAAAAATTTTGTACTATCAGTATTCATTCATTTGTTTTTCAAAGATTATTATCTTTTCTGTTATTTGTATTTCATAAAATGTAATAAAATGTCTTTCTTTTTCAGTCCAGCTGGTAGATAGAGTGAGGACGTATTGGACCAGGGGACCCAAGCTTCAGTATGGGATTAGTGTTATAGTTTTCAGGCTTTAGTTGTATGAGGTTGGGTTTTTTTAATTTGTCTTTTGGTATTTTTAAGACAAGGTCTGTCTGTAGCCCCAGATGGTCTAGAACTCACTATGTAGACTAAGCTGGCTTCAATCTCCCAGAGATCCTGCCTCTGCCTCCCGTTGGGATTAAAGGCGTGTGCCACCCCACTCAAGAGTTACAGGAGTTTTATTCATTAGCATTCTCTATGAAATATTTAAATTGAGAATTTTTTAGTGTTCATGTTAACATAAACTTATGAAAATAATTTTTTATATTTCTTTTTTATTCACACGTATATATGTGTGTTTGTGTCATGTGTGGAGGTCAGAAGAGAGAGGGTCTCAGAGCCCATGGAGCTAGAGTTGGAGGTGGTTGTGAGCTGCCTGACAAGGGTGCTGAGAACTCAAGTCCTGTGGAAGAGGAGCAGTATGTGCCCTTAAACACTGAGCCATCTCTCCAGGCCCCCCAAAATAATATTTTTAAACCAAAAATAATTTAGTGGGATGAGTGTATCGTTAACTTTTTTTCTGTTTCTCTATTTTGTTGGTTTTTTGCTTATCCCTTTTAATAGTATAGCTGCTATATTTACTTTGCTGTGATACCACATTTCTTCCTCCCGTATTTATGACTGAATGAAAAGTCAAGTAACTAACATTTTCTTACTATTTCTTCTTAATTGAAAGTTTTGGGGCTGGAGAGATGGTTCAGTGATTAAGAGCAATGCCTGCTTTTAGAGAGAACCTGGGTTCAATTCCCAGCACCCACATGACAGCTAACAACTGTCTGTAACTCCAGTTCCAGGAGATCTAATGCCCTCTTCTAACCTCCGGTATCGCACAACATGGGTGCACTTACATGCATGCAGGCAAAACACTCATACACATAAAACAAAATTAATAAATAAATTTTTTTTTAAGTTTTTAGTGTTGTACACTTCCAGAAAAGAGTCTTAGGACCCCTAACGGATTCCTGGGACTACATTTTGTATTGTAGTCCCAGGAATTGTAGTTTATCACAGATTTGCAACCATAGAAATCTAAGTTGTGGGAAAGCTGTAAAATGTTCAAAAACTGTTTTCAAAGGCATTGTCTTAAACAAGTAATGAAAGATAGATTGGTTATTAAGAAGTAACCTTGGGGATTTTTCCTCCTTTGGAGCTCCTCCTACTCCCTGGAGTTCTTTTTCACTTTTTCTTAATAAAGTTTACTCTGGTGGGTGTGAGGGGGGCTTTGATGGTAGAGAGTCAGCTCAGCAGTTAACGGCACTTAAATTTTTTTTTTAAGTAACGTTTTCAAATATGGGACCAAAACAAAAAGATTCTGGAAGACTTCACTTAGGAAACTTCATTAATTTTTGAATATATTTAAATACTTAGACAACTTTCAAAGTTGAATTTCTCCTTCTACCATGTGAGTTCCAAGGATCTAACAGGTCTGCAAGCACCTTCACCACTGAGCCAGCTTGCCAGAGGCCTCTCTTGGATTTTTTATAGCATCTTTAAAATATTGCTCCCTAATCCCATACTGGTTGGTTTGTTGTTATTGGTGTCGTGTGTGTGTGTGTGTGTGTGTGTGTGTGTGTGTGTGTGTGTGTCCGTGTCCCACCACCTGTAAGCATACCACATGGGTGCAATGCCTGTGGAAGCCAGAAGAGGGCATTAGATCCCCTGGAACAGGAGTTAAGAATAGTTATTACCTAAACACAAGTCCTCTACAATAGCAACCAGTGCTTTTTTAACTGCTGAGCCATCTCTCCAGCATGTGTGTTTGGTTTTGTGTTTTAGTTTTTGTTTTTTGATATAGCATCCCCCAGTATAGCACAGGCTGGTCTCAAACTTGAAGCAGTCCTGCCACTGCCTCCCAAATGGTAGGATTACAAATATGCACCACTATGCCAGCTTTGTGCAGATTCTTAGATTTAAACTCTCTGAATATTTCTTCTTGATTGTAAAAAACAGCAGCAACTAATCAGTGAGCTGCCCGAAATTATACTATAATTTAGAAAAAGGAAGGAAGAAAGAGGTATTATGATTCCATTTACTGTCTTAATCCAAAACTTGGGAGGTAATGCATGGATCTTAGAAAGGAAGGAAAGAAGGATAGAAAAGAAGAAAGGGAGAGAGGGAGGGAAGGAGGGAGAGAGGGGAAAGAAGGAAAGAAAGAAAAAAAGTTTCAGTTCAGTGTCTGTTGTAATCTAAAAATTTGAGAGATTATGCATGGGTTCGAGGAAGAAAACAGCAATGCAAGAATAACTTTTGTTATTAGTCTCTAACCTAGCTTTGCTTTTATCAGGGAATGGATGATTTACAAGTCAGATCAGCTGCTACAGATATATTTTCTTACTTGGTAGAGTTTAGTCCATCTATGGTCCGAGAATTTGTGATGCAAGAAGCCCAGCAGAGTGATGACGTAAGTAATGATGCTGTGGTACTCGCTATTGCAAGAAAATCATAATAATAACCTTAAGTTTTAGAATATAAAATTACAATCATTTGTAACTTTGGGAAGCTCAGAATATATGCCAAATGATTTGTTATTGCAAAGGGAAAAAAAACAGATTCAAACTAGTATCGGGATATACTGTAATTGAGTTACATTTTTCCTCCCTCTGTTTTTCTTTGTTTTTGCTTTGTGTTTTAGGTCGGGATTTGGGTTTGGCTTTTGTGAGACAGGGTCTTTCTTACTCTACAGCCTAGAACTCCCTGTACAAGTTGGCCTGACACTTCCAACATTCCTCTTGTGTCAGCCTCCCAAGTGTTGGGATTAGAGGCATGAACAACCATACACCTAAGATTAGCCTCTAAGATTCATAAATATTGATTTGTTAGCTTGAAGGACTGATTAAAGACATTTCAATCCTTCAGGAGATTTGTGAACCAGCTAGTAATCTTGAATAACTAAGATTTTGCTTTCACTTAGTATCTTTTTTTGATTGGAAATGAAATTTGAATAATAAGAACAATGTTGTGTTCCCCCACTATAGAAATATTAAACTTGGGGCTTCTAAGGCTTAGCAGTTAAGAGCACTCACTGTCTGCTCTTCCAGAGAACCCGCTTTTGATTCCCAGTACCCATATGTGAGTAGTAACCGGCTATAACTCCAGTTCCAAGAGATATGATGCCCTCTTCTGACCTCCATGGGCCTTGCAGGACACAGATACACTAACATTCATGCAGGCAATATACTAATACACATGTTAAAAAACTAAATAAATAAAAATTTTAAATCAGGGGCTGGAAACATGGCTCAGCAGTTAAGAGCACTGGCTGTTGTTCCAGAGGACCCGAGTTCAATTCTCAGCACCTACATGATTACTAACAACCATCCTTAACTCTGGTTCCAGGGGATCCAACACCCTTTTCTGGCATCCTCAGATTCTGCATGACACAGGTACACTTACATACATGCAAGTAAAAGACGCATAAAATAAAAATAAATCAGAAAAATTAAAATCTAAAAAATGTTGAGAGAAAATGTTGAGATAAAATTTGACTTTAAGAAATCTTTGTTAATGTGTTTACGTGTAGATGACACTTAATCTATCATTTGATTATTTTTGCTTATCTTTAAATTATTAAATTTAGGGGCTGGAGAGATACTTCAGTGGTTAAGAACACTGACTGTTCTTGCAGAAGACCCGGGTTCAAATCCCAGCACCCACATGGCAACTAATGACTATCCATAACTCCAGTTCCACGGAATCTGACAGTCTCTTCTGTTCTCTGCCGGCATTGCATGATACGGATGCACTTACCTACGTGCAGGCAATACACACATACACATAAAATAAAAATAATAAATTTTTTTAATTTTAAAAAAATTAGTAAATTTATAGCAGAATTTATATTTCAGTGAGCAAAGTATTTGAAGTCCTAATTAATAGATTAAGTTAAACATGTCTACCATAATTTAAGATGGGTAAATTTCTTAGCCCAAGTCTAGAAAAAGCTCATTTGACTTCTTTACCTTTCCATAATATCTTAACATTTTATATGAAGTGTTCTTTGCTCAACATGCCAGAATAAAGGAGATACAGTTTAATATGGAATCTGCTTTTTCCTCCTAATTGAAATAAAGCCCGTGTTAACATTAATAACAGAGTTCTATAGGGTTTTAAAATTTAAATTTACTTTATAATTGATACATAAAAATTACATGTAATTTATGGGATACCATCTAACATTTCAGTACATGTGAACATTGTGGCCCTATTTATTTTGCCATGCTGGGGATTAAACCCCAGGTTTTACATATGTTAGGAAAGTGTTCTACTAAGTTATAACCTCAGCCCTGGGTAACATTTAAATCTGGGTAAACATATGTGCCTCCTTAAATATTTGCCACTGTTTTCTGGCATGGTGGCTCACACTTGTAGTTCCTGCCTTTAGGGGACTGAGGCAAGAGGAACATTACAAGTTGAAGGTCAGCCTGGGCTATAGGTGAGATCCTGTCTTTAAATAAAGCAGGCAGGGAGCAGAGAGTCATGGTGATGTAGAGTGCTTGCCTGGCATGCGTGAAGCCATGTGTTCAATCCCCTGTACTACAAAAATGAAAAATTGTCTTTTCTTTATGGTGTATTGGTCATTTTTGTTGTTGTTGTTGTTTATTTTTTTATTTTCTGTGTATGCGTGTATTGCCTGCATGTAGATAAGTGCACCCATGTCATGCAATACCTTCAGAGGTCAGAAGAGGCTGTTGGATCCCCTGGGACTGGAGTTATAGACAGTTCTTAGCTGCCGTGTGGGTGCTGGGATTCAAACTGAGTCTTCTACAAGAACAACCAGTGTTCTTAACCGCTGAGCCATCTCTCCAGCACCCAATCTGGCCATTTTTTAAATATCTTTGTCAATAATAAACATACTGTCATTTACCACATAAGGCATTTCTACCAACAACAGACCACATACATGCAATGATCACCTGAAGTTATAGTGAATCTGATTGAGGAAAACACTGACATTAACATAGGCCTCCATACATACACGTGCATACATGTACACATACACTTGAAGACATACACAAATAGAATACAGAGAAATTCTGTATTTGCAAGGTGCTTGTGGCTTCATATTAAAACTGAAGAGGGCGTTGCTTCTGTGACAGTCGATCTGATGTTAGGTCTTTTTTTTTTTTACTCTAAAAAACTCTCTTGAGAATTTCATACGTGCATAAAAGGTGTTTTGATCAAATCCATGCCCACTCCCTCCCTTCCAACACCTCACATTATCTTCCCATCATTTTTTTTCCTGACAACTTCATGTACTCTTTCTTTCTTTGTTTTTGTCTTTTTTTTTTTTTTTTTTTTTGAGACAGGGTCTCCTTGTAGCCCCAGCTGTCCTGGAACTCACTATGTAGACCAGGCTGGCCTTGAGCTCAAAGATCTGCCTGTCTCTGCTGGGATTAAAGGCATGCGCCACCAAATGAGCGCTCTCAAATACTTTTGACATTTTTGGCCTTTGGAATTTAGTATGTTGCTGTGTGGCCCAAGGACATTTTGACTTTTAGCCAAGAGACTGGCTACTTTTCTTTGGGGTCTTATTTACTCTTAACTGCCTAGCCAGTTCCTACCTCCTTTTCCATCCTCCTCACACCATCCTCTGAAGAGGTTACCCAAGTTGCCAATCACTCTCATACCTTGGAAAGAGTTGTGTGCTGGGTTCTATCCTGGTCTTTTTCTAGAGAGAAGTTTTAATGGAAACATCTAGACACTGAAATTATATTTTAGGGTCACTGGTTTTGTAATCTTGTTTGGTCATCCTCTTAATTTATGCCTGAAGCTGAGACTTAGAAAGGTAACCTCTTGTGAACAAAAGTCACTGTAAGCTGAGGGCATGCCCTCCTTTTTGTTTGTTTGACTCTATAATTTTTTGAACTTTGAAAAACAGAAAGAAAAAAAAACTTTCAATAGGCTCTTCTGTTCAAGTCTGCTTTTTCTGTGCTCTGAATTCAGTTAATGAATTTGTTGTATGTCTAATCAAGATCTAATGGAAATATGTTTTCTTTCAGGATATACTTCTTATTAATGTAGTTATTGAACAGATGATTTGTGATACTGATCCTGAGCTAGGTGGTGCAGTCCAGTTAATGGGACTTCTTCGTACTCTAATTGATCCAGAGAACATGTTGGCTACAACTAATGTAAGAAATTACACTGATTTAGAAATATTTTGGCTTAGTCATTTTTATGTAGTTTTGTAATAAAGTTTTAAGAAGCAACAAATACTTTCATATGTTTGTATTAAACAGCAATGATATTCTTATAATAATTCATTTGCAGTAAATACAAGATTGTAATTATTAAATTTTTTTTAATTTTACATTTATTTATTGAGGGGGGAGGATATGCCATCTTGCATGCATGGAGGTTCCTGGTCAGCTTGCCAGAGACAGTTTTCTACTTCTACCACATGGAGCCTAAGAATTAAACTTAAGTGGGCTTAGCCCAGAGCTTGCTATGTAGACCAAGTTGTCCTTGAACTCACAGAGATCTGACTGCCTCTGCCTTCCAAGTACTGGGATTAAAGGCATATGCCACCACCACACCCACCTCAAGAGTCCAGAATGTAGTAGTGGTTATTTCAACATGGAAAACTATTTCCTTAATTAGATATTCTCTATAATATAATCATAATATAATCATAGATATACTATATCAGATAATCTCTATAATATAATCATAATCTAATTATAATCATAATATCTAATTATAATCATAATTAGATCATCTATTTCTTTTAATTTTATGTGTATGAGTGTATTACCTGCATGTATGTAAGTGCACCTATGTCATGCAATGCCTGTTGAGTTTAGAAGAGGGTGTTAGATTCCCCTGGGACTGGAGTTATGGGCGGGTGTTAGCCACCATATGGGTGCTGTTCAAAATTGAACCCAGGTTCTCTGCAAGAACAACCAATGCTGTTAACTACTGAGCCATCTCTCCAGCCCCTCAACTTAAATTATTAACCTTTGTAGATTTGTAACAAGAGAACAGACAAAGTTTTCCAAAGAGAAGCCTTTGTTTCTCTTTTAATTCATGCTGAGAAACAACACACTCACCTGAAAAACAGGAGCAATATTTTCTTCCTTAAAAAAATTGTTACAGTTTAGTGGGGCCAACTATTTAATAAATGGTGATAAATTAGGAATTAGTTTCCAAATTACAAACTTGAAATTTAAAGAACAGCTTGGAAGTTCATCTTTTGACTTAATAGCCCAAAAAGATTGCTTCAGTTTCAGGTTCAGACAGACAGCAGAATATTGTTGTGGTGCCCCCCACCACACACACACACTTGGGGATGGAGCCCAAGATCTTGCACATATTAATCCAAGTACTTAACAACTGAGGTACATTCCCCACTCCTCAAGTTCTAATTTTTAATCCGTTACAACACTTGACTCATAATCCCAGGAGCTGGAAAATGTCTCAGCCAGTAAGAGCACTTGCTACTCTTCCACAGGACTAGTTTCATTCCCAGCATCCACACAAGATGATTCACAACCACCTGTAACTCAGTCCCAGGGGATCCAGTCCCTCTTTTGGCATCCACAGACATCCAGATACACACAGGCGCACACTTACATGTAAATAAAATAATCTTAGCAATTTTCAAGTACGCAATGCATTCCTATTAGTTGTAGTCACCGTGTTCAGTAGATTGATTCATTATATTTCAGATCGCCATCTTTGTAAAAAGTTTTTCTGAATTTCCTCAGAAAAACTGTCTATACTTTTTTTCACTTTCATTTTTAATATGCAATGTGAACTATTTTCTGTGGAATTCAGATTCAAGTGCATATATGTAGACTTTTGCGTTGACTATATGTAGGTAGTTTGGGATTCTTTCATGTTATCATAAAGTGGTTGTTGGATGTTTTCTTAAGTACAAAGGTAATAAAGTGTTCTTTTAAAACTTCTATTTCAGAAAACTGAAAAAAGTGAGTTTTTAAATTTCTTCTACAACCATTGTATGCATGTCCTCACGGCACCACTTTTGACCAATACTTCAGAAGACAAATGTGAGAAGGGTAAGTTCTCTTGTTTGTCTGCTCATGAGGTCTGGTTTTAAAGAACAAAATAAGTACTAAAGCTAACGAACAATTACTGGGAGCTTTATATGGCAGGGGAATTACTTCCAAAATTCAAACTGCAGCATGATCATGATTTCCCTTGCTTCTGAATGTCTTTGGAAAGAATGATAGAGAAATAGACAATCATAGGCCAATATGTAGGACAAAGGTTTTTCTCTTTAGTGTATATTTTTTGTGGCTTTCCATATTGTGTGATACCATAACTTTATTGAAAATTTTGGTTTATTAAAGTGGAATTGAGACATAAAGATACTCTTTTAGCAATCTGAAGTAAAGAACTGTTTAGGCATTTGTTGCTACATGAACCCAGTTGGCAGCAGTTTTTGATTTACTAGAATAACCAACTAAAGGGAAGCTGTAGCCAGGAGCAAAGGTGCATGCCTAGAATTCCAGTACTAAGGTAAAAACAGGAGGATTAGGGATTCGAGACTAATCTCAGCTATATAGTAAGTTCTAGGCCAGCCTGGGCTACATGAGTCCCCATCTTAAAGGGGATGGGGTGAGTGAGTCAAGACTAAGTTTATGAAATTAATTAAGAATTCTAACCTAGGCACGTCCTATTTAATAACATCAGTTGCTTTCTGATTATATACCCTAAGGAGTATTTTTACATTTGCATGATGGGTATAAGAGTGTCACTGTATTGCTTATGACAGGAAAATGAACTAAGTATGGAACATTTATATAATGGAACACCTCAGTTAAAATAACTGAAATAAATTTAGATGTATCAACTCAACTCTCAAAATGCAGTTATGTGGATAAAAAGTATGTCCCAGAAGATTTTATTGCAACATATAAATAAAATGATTTTAATGTTCATTTTAAAATACTTCCAGCATATGCAAAAATACAGATAATGCTATTAATAGATGCTCATATACTATACTTTATCAAAACTAACTTGCCAGCCAGACATGGTGGCACACACCTTTAATCCCAGCACTTGAGAGGCAGAGGCAGGCATATCTCTGTGAGTTCAAGGCCAGCCTGGTCTACATAATGAGTTCCAGGACAGAGAGACCCTGTCTCAAAAAGACAAAAAGAAAGAAAGAAAGAAAGAAAGAAAGAAAGAAAGAAGTACTTCTTTTCTGATTTAAAAAAAAAAAAAGCTATATAGTTGGAGTTTTTGATGCACCCTTCACATTCTCAGTCCCACCCTACCCTGTTCCCTGATTCCTCAGGATATATAGGGACTTATCTTTCCTGTATTTACTTATATTATGGTATAGGAACTGTATTATTTTTCCGTCTCAAATTTGTTTTGTTTACTTGAGATCTGTTCATACTGATACGCAGATTTCTTTCTTAGGCCTTGCACGGTATTCCATGAGTATGTAGCAATTTGACCATTGTTCTTCACGTGTACATTTGAGGGTTTTTTTTCCTATTGTACATAACGCTCCAGTATGCATTCTTGCATTTCCCTTGCAAATGTGCTTATATATGCTCTAGGACATATTTTTGAGCATAAGCATATTATTGTTAATATGTGTTGTTCTGAAGTTTTAAATGTCCAGTATTTGTTTTTAAATATTAGCTGCAGAAACATCCTAATTGTTAGATGTAATGAGAGAAGGCAAAAGAACACATATCAGTCTTACCTCTAGTTTTAATCTCACTTTTTTATCAGAGTACTTATATTGTATTATCTTACAGTAATTCCGTCTGCACCTAATTCTGTAAAAGATATACTTTTTGAGCAAACCAACAACTCTGGTTATTATGAAGGTAAAGGAAATTATGATTGAAGATATGGTTGTATATTATGAAATATTGGAGAAATATAAGGTATCGTTACTGAAGTAGTTGATTTTAAATTTTCTTTTAAAGATAATCTACTTGGATCTAACAAAACCAACACAATTTGCCCTGGTAAGTATGAATTCATATTTTATGAATGCAGATTTGAGCTTTTTCTTACTCAATATATAATGTATTTATATGAAGCTAAGAAAAACATTTTCAGCATAAATATAAAACCCAAGAACAGATTTACTTTTTTATTATAAAACAAAAAAATTCTATTTTCGCTAATATAAAAGATAGGAAAACAATTTGGAATTTTTTTTTCCCCTGTAAATTTGTTGCTTGTTTTCTGACGTTGCTTTTAGAAGACATTTTCTGTAAGTTGATGGTTTATAGTTCTTACGTTTTAGATATTGTAAACCACTGTCACTTAGTTAGGATCTATATTTATGTTGATACTACACTTGTCTGGAACCTGTCTTCTAACACCTGTGTCTGTTTAGAGCATACCTTCTAGGTATGGGCCTGAGCATACTGAAGAAGATACCCGTGCTGTGTGCTCTTACCATCACATCTTCTCTACCAGGCTTAGCAAACCTAGGAGAAAAAACAAAAAGAGCTTTAGGAGAGCTAGTTCCAAATAAGGAAAATGTTCAGAGATTGAATCAAAGTGATTTCTTGACTTAAAGTAGGAAAGGGAAAGCAAGGTGATAAGACCTGTAGATTATTTTTAAAATCTTTTGTATGGGCTGATGAGATTGCTCAGCAGGTAAAGGCATTTACCACTCAATCCTAGAGACTTATTTTGATCTCCAGAACCCCCTTAAAGGTAGAAGGAAAGAACCAATTCCACAAAGTTGTCCTCTGACCTCCACATGCATGCCTCTCCCCATGTATACATTTTTTAAACTTTTGAAAATAAAATTGGAAAAATGTGAGAGATTATTTTTAATTGTGAAAGATTAGTTCAAATTTTGGCAGTTAAAGAAATTAGTCTAGAAAAAGTAAAACTTTTTTCTTAAACTTGAACTACAGTTTTTGAAGTACCAGTAACAGTTTTTTGTGACTATCTGATAGTCACTCTGTTAATAAAAGAATTTTGCATTATTTCCAATAGCATTGTAGATCCACAAAGTGTTTAAGTATATAGTGTTCCTGTTTAAATAAAATAGTTGTACTAGATGTTGTATGACTTCTTTTTATAAGGCTGTGATTCTCTAGTTTCCTCAAAGTTTAATATTTCTTTTCCTGAACCATAAAATGATTGTCCATATTAAGTCCTTGATAGATGTTAAAATTTGATGTTTAGTTTGAAGTGATATCATGAACCAAAGCCTCTCAAAGGGGAGCAAAAGATAGCTTCCTTCAGTCATCTGTGAATGTCATGAGTCAGTGTGCTTAAAAATGGTACAAAAGCCAGGCGTGGTGGTGCACGCCTTTAATCCCAGCACTTGGGAGGCAGAGGCAGGCGGATCTCTGTGAGTTCAAGGCCACCCTGGTATACATAATGAGTTCCAGGACAGCTGGGGCTACAGGGAGACCCTGCCTCAAAAAAAAAAAAAAGACAGAAAAACAAATGGTACAAAGAAAATGTCAGTGAGATATTTTTCACTTGATAATTAAATAGCAAAAATAACATTTTCTTAAAGATTTGTTTAAAAGAAATTAAGAAATTTACATAGAGGGTGTTCCAGGTGAGTTCTAATCCCCAGATTCCACAAGGCAGGAGAGAACCAACCCCTAAGAGTTGTCTCCTGGCATGCGCATATGCACTCACACGCATAAATAAATAAATACATAAATACATAAATACATAAATAAATAAATAATTTTTAGCAAAAATTTGTATTGATCTGCTTTGGTTAAGAACTTTGAGGAATTTCCTTTTCACTGTGTGCCCTTTCATAGATACATTAATTTTAGTAGTAGTAGCACTAAGCACAGATAACTACTGGGAAAATCTCAATGCTTTATTACCGTATTTGTAGATCTATATTGAGGTTTTTTTCTGTTGTTATTAAATCCTTTACTCAATTAAGAGCCTTGGAAAATATCTAAATACTGTGTAAAACTGGTAATACTTTAGAGAGTACATAATGAAAAACTCGTGTATGTGTAGATATGCATATTCCCTTTTTAAATGATAGAACAATGATGGAAATACTATTAACTTTTGCTGTAAAATGTAGTATATAATCTTTATTCTATTTAGATATATTCTCACAAGATAACTTTCTTTTGTAGATAATTATCAAACAGCACAGCTACTTGCCTTAATTTTAGAGTTACTTACATTTTGTGTAGAACATCACACATACCACATAAAAAACTATATCATGAACAAGGACTTGCTAAGAAGAGTCTTGGTCTTGATGAATTCAAAGCACACTTTCCTGGCCTTGTGTAAGTAATAATTTAAATGAATGTTTTTGTAAAAATGTTTTAAGAAGTATTTTTAGTATACATAAAAGTCAAAGTTCTCCATATGAGGTTATCTACTTATTTAGCAATGTATGTATGATATTAAAGAGCAAGACGAGAAGGATATGGTGGTTTCCCACATAAATATTGTTTATATTTGGGTTGAACTAGCCTAAATTTTTGTTGTGGTACAATGCTATATACAATAACATTTCTCAATAGAAACAGTCTTCTCTGTTAGAATATTATCAAACCGTCATGTTTTACCTTTCTGGCATGTATGTGTTGAGAGAGGGTCTCATGTATTCCAGCTTGGCCTAACTCATTATATAGCCAAGGTAGCCAAAGCCTCGAATTTCTAAATCTTTCCTCCACCCTGAATTCTGGAATTACAAGTGTGTGCACCATATCCTGTTTATGCAGTGCTGGGTATTGAACTCTTAGGCCTTTGTGAATGTCAGGCAACTCTTAACAACTGAGCTACATACATCCCCAGCCCTCATTTGTTATCTTTTTTTTTTTCTTTCTTTCTTTTTTTTTCTTTTTTTGACAGGGTCTCCTATCCCTAGCTGGCCTAGAACTCTCTGTGGCCTGACCTGGAACCAGGCTGGCCTCAATCTCACAGAGATCCTTCTTCTGCTTCTGCTTCTGCTTCCCAAGTGCTGAGTTTAAAAGGTGTGTGGCTACCATGCCTGATCTAATTGGTTACTCTTAATCCCCTAACCTCCTTTATCTTTCTGTCCTTAAAATAGTCAAGATTGATGGGTGTGCTGGCACACACCTGTAATCTCAGTACTTGGGAGGTGGGGGCAGAAGGATCAGGAGTTCAAAATCATCCTTGGCTACATAGCAATTTCAGAGTTGGCCTGGGACATGAGACCTTGTTAAGAGTCTGCTTTTTTTCTATATCTGTACACATTTACATAAGAATACTCATATAGATAAACAGAGTTTTTTGATATTTTTGTAAAAGATAGACCATACTCCTACATTTCTCTGTCCTCCAGTACTACTGTAAGTTCTTTGGTAAGTTGTAGATTCTTTTTTTCTTAGCTAAATAGAATACATTCCACAATTGTATCATTCTCTAGTGACACATTGCAGAATGTTTTTTGCTTCTTTATCGCTCCAAACTACAATGTGTCTAGTACAGTATTCTTTTGTGTGCCAATAGTTCCTCAGGTATGGTTGGGGTTTTTTACCCACTTCCCCACCTCTATGCTGGAATTTCTTCTGGCTTGAGCTTGCGTAGATCTTGTATATTCTGTCACAGTTGCTGTGAGTGCATATGTACAACAGCCTTGCTCTCTAGAAAATTTTTACTAATACCTGGTTACTTTGCCAAAAGCTGAAGCACTTGGCATTTTCCCAGGACTCTAATACCTCTTAAACAAAAAAAAAAAAAAAAAAATAGAGAGTCTTACTCCATAGTCGAGGCTATCTTGGAACTCACTGTGTAGCTAAGGCTTACCTTAAACTCATGGCAATCCTCCTGCCTCAGCCCAAGTGCTGGGATTATAATCAAGCCACCACTTGCAACTACATTGCTAATTTTTAAAAATGTTGTCTACTGGTGAAGACTGTGTTGTAGTTTTGGTCTACTTTGCATGTTCTTTGATAGGATATTTTTATATTATAGTGTAATTTTTATTTACTCTTGTTTCGTTTTGGGGGACAGAGTCTCATGTAGGTAGCCTAGGTTGGCCTCAAACTTCTTATGTATCTGTGGATGGTCCTTATCCCTCTACCTCCATCTCTGAGTGTTGGGATTGTATGTCTGAGCCACCATACCCAACATAATTTGCATTTTTATCTGTTGTGAATTTTAGGTTATCTTTTTCATAGATCCTTTGTATATTACAAACATAGTTTTAGGAGATGTTCCAGTCCCATTTTCTTTGTCTTCACTTTGTGTATGGTGTTCTCCATGTAACTTTGAATTAAAAAAAAAAATCTTGGGGCTGGAGAGATGGCTCACCAGTTAAGAAACACTTGCTGTTCTTCCAGAGGACTCAGGTTCAATTCCCAGCATGCTCATGGTGGCTAACAACTGTCTGTAACTCCAGTTCCAGGGGATCTGATACCCTCTTCTGGCCTCTGGCACTACACATGTGGTGCACATATATGCAGGCAAAACACTCATATACATAAAATAAAAATAATAAGTAAAATAGCTTTTTTAATTCTTTATTGGGACTAGGAGAATGGGTCAGTTGATAAAGTGGTTGCCAAGGACCTGAATTGAGTCCCCAGAACCTGTGTACAAGTGCAGGACTGGTGGCATGTACACTTGTAATCCTAGGGCTGGGAAGGAGATGGGAAGATCTCTAGGGCTCGATGATCAACTCCTAATTGGTAAGCTTCAGGCCAGTGTGAGACTATGTCTAAAAGGAAGTGGACAGCATGCCTAAGGATGACACCTGAGGTTGTCCTCCAGCCCCCACATCCATCCCTAACACATATAAACATGTATAACTTAAACACATTGGCACACACATTTAAAAAATTCCTTATGGTGGCAAATGCAGTTTACTTTCCTTTTATGATGTTGGGGATTATCTTGCTTAGGAACTTTTCTGTGTCCTGCGGTTATACAAATACTTTGTAATTTTTTGTATTTTTATTATTTGCTTTTTATGTTTGTATTTGTAATATATCTGAAACATATTTTAGGATATGGTTTAAAGTGATAGTCTAGTTTTCTTTTCTAGATAGATAGTCCACTGTGCCAACACCTTTTAAAATCATATTTTTCCCTATAGAATGAAAATACCACCTCTGATATGTAATAAACTAGCAAAATACTTGTGCCTTATTTCTGGAATATATATTCTTAATTTCATCAGATGAAATAATGGTAGTGTTTGTTATTATGGCATTATGTAACATGTTTTGGAAGATTGAAATGCCTGCTTGTTGAGTTTGACCCTAATTTTTCTGGTAATTCATAGACTTTTTTTAATAACTTAAAAGTTGGATCATACCCTGATTAGAATTATATTTGTATATTAATTTTGGAAGGACTTTTGATAGGTTCTCTATCTGGTTTCTATGAATAGTCCTTTAGATGATTGCAGATTCTCCCATTAATGTAGAGGTATCCTAGCTGGATGAATTCCCTGTGTCTGTGCATCTGTACTGTTTCAGGATCCCCATCATTGTAATAAAACAGTTACTGTAAACTCTAGTTTGTAGGCCTATGGGGCATTCCACAACAGTATATGAGTGCCTGTGCCCTCAGACCTTTTCCAGTTCCTCAGTCTTTTTAATTTTTTCTTTTTTAACTAAGAGTAAAAGTTTAAATTATCAACACGGGCTGGAGAGATGGCTCAGCAGTTAAGAACACCGACTGTTCTTGCAGAAGACCCAGGTTCAAATCCCAGCACTCATTTGGCCGCTAACAACTATCTGTAATTCCAGTTCCCAGGGATCCGACGGCCTCTTCTGTCCTCCACAGGCATTGCACAACACAGGTGCACTTACTTACATGCAGACAACACATGCACACACATAAAATAAAAATAATAAAATATCTTTTTTTAATTATCAACACAAAATAAAGGATTGAAATTGCATGTTCATGTTCCATAAACATTTTAGCAATAGTATTGCTAAATTTATAGCACTAGTTAACTAGTTAAAACAGGAGTATCAGGGGAATATAGGTCAGTGGTAGGGCACTTTTGCAAGGCCCTGGGGTCAATCCCTGGTACCCCCTTTAAAAGATTATACATGAGGGGAATGTCTTTTTAAATATTCAGAATGTAGCAAACCAAACTGTACTGCTTAGTTATTACTCAAAATTTTTTTTAGCAAATTCAATATGATATACCACAGTTCATATTTACCTAAAGTATAAAATAGTTCATACATAATTGATAAACAAGGGAATGATGTCATTATAATGTGAAAATAGTATTGGTTTATCAGTGGGTTTTCAAAGGCAAGGGAAGTGAGAGTAGCTGGAGAGGATCTACAGCTTGCATTGAAAAAGTTAAAAAAAATAGATCTCCTCTTGGGCTACTGGTATGCCCTTGGTTGTATTTCAAGAAAATTAAAAATAAAGTACCCATCTCCATGGATTCCTACCCCAGAAATGCAGTAGGCTTTACCACGCCTATCCCCCCCCACCCCACCCCACCCCTGGCCTGATTCTGAGCTATCCTTACTGTATCCACTGACATTGCTCAAAGCATTACTAGCATTTTATGACCTTTGGGGTTTTTTTTTCTAATAGAAAAATTAATTATTATTATTGTATGTGTGCCTGTTATGAGTATACTGCACATGTGCGCCACTGCACATGTGGAGGTCAGAGGACAACTTTGCGAAGTCAGTTCTTTTGTTTCACTTTCCTGTGAGTTCTGGGGGTTGAGCTGGCTCTGGATACTGTTGATGAGATTTTTGTTTGTCTTTTCACCTTTAGCATGGGGCTGACCTTGGTAGCTTTTCAATCTGATTAACAGTTACACAGATTTTCAGTTGTCATCCGTCCCCACACTTTCTTAAGCCCAGTTTGTTTCGTGTACCATTTTACTTTTTACTTTAGAAGAATTTACATGTTGCTTTATAATGAAAATGTCAATATAATAATTTTAGTACATTTATCCTCTTATTCCCTTTGTCTTTTTAATTAGGTGCTCTTCGATTTATGAGGCGGATAATTGGCCTTAAGGATGAATTTTATAATCGTTACATCACCAAAGGAAATCTTTTTGAACCAGTTATAAATGCTCTTCTGGATAATGGAACTCGGTACAATCTGTTGAATTCAGCTGTTATTGAATTGTTTGAATTTATAAGAGTGGTAAGTTTATATTAAAGAAATTTTAGTAATCATATGTAAAGCAGTAATTGTATATAAAACTAAAATAATTGTATGTAATCAAAATAATTTCTTCATTCCTTTTTTCCTGAACTTGTTTATTCCATGTGTCTTAGAATCTATTTCTAATAAACTGAAATTTTAAAAATCATTTACTTTTTATTCTTACTTGTACACTGTTAAAAAGTGAATGATGTTAGTTTCTTTTATGTGGGGGATGGTCAGTGTTGGGGATCATATCTGGGTCCTTCCATGTGTTAGGCAAGCACTCTATCACCGAATCACATCCTGAGCCATTATTAAAAATTGTGAAATTTGAAATTTAAAAGTGAAGTTCAGGAATCTTATAACTCATTTACTCAGTTTTCTTATTTCCATTTTTCTTGGTGAAATGTTTTAGGATCATGTTTGGCATATATGGACATTTCAGCCGGGCATGGTGGCGCATGCCTTTAATCCCAGCACTCGGGAGGCAGAGGCGGGTGGATCTCTGTGAGTTTGAGACCAGCTTGGCCTACATAGTGAGTTCTAGGCCAGTTGAGGCTATAGGGAAACCCTGTCTTCCTCCCCACCCCAAAACAGTTTTCTACTATGAGAAAAAATATTTTAAAAAGAAGATACAAAGATTGAAAAAATGATTCCTTTAAGTAGACTTTGACACAAGATGCATTAACAGTAGGATGGAATCCTAAAGTTTTAAGTATAAAGAACCAGAAAGTTAAATTAGTCTAACTACTTTATATGATAGACAACAAAACTGAGATACCAGAAATGGCTCATTGACCCCTTCCAAAGCATCTATACAGTTAATAGCACAGGCAGCACATGAAACTCCATCCCAACTCAGTTTCATACAACAAAATTTTTCTCATAAAAGGATCTGGAAAGAGCAGTGTACAAGTAGAGTAGAAATAAGAGAACTACAGTCACTACAGCAAATTTACCTCTTCAGCATATATACATACACAACTCTTTCATCAAGGAAACAGCCATGTATAAAGAACTTGAAAAAAGAAAAACTAAAAACTCAAGTCTCTGGTTTTATTTCAAGTCATATTTCTATAATGATTTGCTATTCTATGAGGATTATTTGGCTAAAAGTTGTTTTTCTAAGAGTGGTCTCTTAAAGAATGAGTTTAGGAGGATGAATAATATAAAAGTGTAGTCTTTAATCTTAGAAAAGGACCAACCAGGGAATTAACTCAGTAGCCGTCTGCACCCAGGTCATATAATCTAATGAATCAGAACTTTATATAAACCTTTTTAATAACTTGTATCCTTTTTCCTTGAAATTTTGATAAGATACTGATAAAAGGAATTGGGTTCACACCATCCCCACTCTTCCTAGAATTTACTTTTTCTCAAATCTGGTAAGTTTAATACAATACACTTGAATCTGCAAACTTAACACATCTCTGTTCCATGTACAAGGTTGTAACTGTCAGAGTAGTGAAGCAGTGTCGCAGTAAGGAGTCACCATGCCTCTGTGTGCAGTAGAGCCAAGAACCTACCCTGATAAGAAATCATTAATACACTTAATGAAAATATGGTTTTAACCACTAACAAGGTCTTAGGGCCTGGATTTGGGGGTTTCTTTTGTTTTGTTTTTTGTAAAATAGGTACAACTTATTTCATAAAATTGTGAGAATCGAATGAAATTGTTTGCAAAAGTGTTTTTTAATTATAAAGTAGTATATAAATAAACAAGATGTAAACTAAATTTGTTTGCTTTTCAAATGTTCTTTATAGTCCCCCAAAAGGGCTCCAGTGAATTGCTTCTCCTTTTTCCCAAGTTTTCTGTGGAGTCCTGGCTCATGTATAAAGAATCTAGGACATTTATTTTTGGAAGGTGATTTTGAAAAACTTTTTTTGATCAACTTCAGAAGTATAAAAGTTTTTTTTTTAAGTTTTTCTCCTAATAAGCATTGTATTATTTTTTTAAATATAAATTTTGTGCTTATACAGGAAGATATCAAGTCTCTTACTGCACATATAGTTGAAAACTTTTATAAAGCACTTGAATCGATTGAATATGTTCAGACATTCAAAGGATTGAAGACTAAATATGAACAAGAAAAAGACAGACAAAATCAGAAACTGAACAGGTATTGTTTAAGTATATCGCATTTGTAGCCAGCAAAATCAAGTCTAAATTGTCTGTAGTTTAGATCTTACATGTAATGTGTACCAAGAAATTTCCTGTCACATTAGCATAGAATTTTATAGGAAGGTAGGCTTGTCCTTCCTACCCACCAAATCCATTATGATGACTTAATTCTGTGTGGTAACTCAAGATGGATTCTTAATTTAGTTTATAACATCCAAAAATTAAATTTAGAGATTTCTCTGACTACATCTTAGATTATGACTGAGATAATTTTGCTCTAATGTGCATCCTAAATTAAAATTACATTAGTTCTTCTTGGTTGTATATCTTTCCCAAAGTTAATTTGGCCATAAACTTGAAGTCATTACTCAACGTCTGTGATATATTTCTTACAGTGTACCATCTATATTGCGTAGTAACAGATTTCGCAGAGATGCAAAAGCCTTGGAAGAGGATGAAGAAATGTGGTTTAATGAAGACGAAGAAGAAGAAGGAAAAGCAGTTGTGGCACCAGTTGAAAAATCTAAGACTGAAGATGATTTTCCAGATAGTTATGAAAAATTTATGGAGACTAAAAAAGGTACTAAAATTCTAAATTTTCATTTTGTACCTCCTCTTATTTCATACAAAAATTATACAGCCTAAGTTTAATCTTCAGCCCTACAAACAGTAATAATAATCAAAATTTTTTTTGTGGAAGCCTGTCCTGACCAAGGTTTATAAAACAATAAAAGACATGAATTTTATTCTGAATCGTGACCTTTTGGGGGAGGGGTTTTTTTGTTTTGTTTTGGGGTTTTGTTTTTGTTTTGTTTTTTGGGTTTTTTTTTTTTTTTTTGGCTTTTTGAGATAGGGTCTCCCTGTAGCCCCAGCTGGCCTGGAACTCACTATGTAGACCAGGCTGTCCTCAAACTCAAAGAGATCTGCCTGCCTCTGCCTCCCAAGTGCTGGGATTAAATGTGTGCACCACCACACCCAGCATGACCATTTAAAGTTATCTGTATTTTCCAAATCATTTTGGATGTTCACGTTTAAAATATTTTCCTTGAAACTTGCTGTTTTTTTTTTTTTTTTTTTAATGCCATTCATTTTGGGTTTAGAAATTGCATTTTAATTTCTTTAAAATAGGGTCTCAATACACAGCCCAGTTCTGACCCAGAGCTCAGCTGTATAATCCAGGCTTGGCTGAAGCTCAGCCAGCCAGCCTCAGCTTCCCAAATTCAGTGATTACAGTGTGGGCCCGCATAGCTGGCCTCTGTTTAGATTAGTCTTGGTTTTGTTTCTATACTCAAAACCTCATTGAGGATTTTCATTATGATTAACTTATTTGAGTAATTCTACTAAATAATGAGTATATATCTGTAGAAGTCTAGAACACCTCACCTCTGATATTTACAGCTTGAGGAAAGTGAGCCCAAGAAGAAACTTTGGTCTTTGAAACTAGGTGTTGTTAAAGTTGTTTAAAGATACAAGAGGAAGAAAGCTGACTGTGGTGGTACACACCTGGGCCCTAGCATGCTGGAGGCTGAGGCAGTAGAGTCACTGCAGGTTCAAGGCCAGGCTGCTACATAGAAGACCCTGTCTCAAAAACACCCAAAAGGAAAACCAGGTGTGCTGGCACTCACTTGTAGTCCTAGCGCTCAGGAGGTGGAAGTAGGAGGATCAGAAATTCAGGATCATCCTGAGCTGCAGAGTAAGTTTGAGACTAGCCTGAGATACATTAGACACTATGTCCAAAAAAGGTGAGGAGAGGGGGGTGCTTAAATTTTTTCTCTTGGCTTCTAATTATGCTTAACTTGTTTTATAAAACTAAGATAAAGGTAATATTTTTCAAAAAATAATAACTTTATGCCCTAAAGGATCTGGCCTACAAATACCATTTAAATGTTTTATAAAAATTATGTTGACAAAGACAACATAAAGACAAATTATTTGTTGAAAGACAAATTTCAGACTTGTTTAGAATGTGATATTTTCCAAAGGCATTTCTTTTTTAAATTTATTTTGTATATGTATGAATGTTTTGTATACATGTATGCAAGTGCACTGCTGTCATGTAATACCAGTGGAGGCCAGAAGATGGTGTTGAATTCCCCTAGAACTGGAGTTAAAGATGGTTGTTAGGCACCATGTGGATGCTAGGAACCAAACCCAGGTGGGTCGTTTGCAAGAGCAGCCATGCCCATAACCGCCAGGCCTAAAGGCATTTCTTCTTAAAAAATCTCTTCAAGTTGACTTATTACATTTTCCCTGAACTATTATTTCCCAATCTTCCCAACTCATTAATACCATGAGTTTCATTTGCTTCACCCTAAAAGGGACAAAAAGCCTCTTAAAATGTTCTAAAGAACATGTATTATTTTTATGGCATTAGAGATACTTCCCTCAATACTGTCAAAAGAAGCAGAAAGGCCATGCTCAAGTACCATATCCATTGTTGTTAGGTGCATTCTGTGATAAATTATGTCAAAAATTAAAGTAGCCTTAAAGGCCTTAAAGAGGTTTGGATGCATATGCCATAAAAGAATGAAAGGAATGTGGAATTTTTAGGGAATAAGAAACTGTAAATATCTTTAGGCATTTGAAATGGTGACTTTTGAGAGCTGGTGTTAGATTCTAGCACAAAGTCAAGAATGCACTGTAGAGTCAGTGGATTGACGATAATAAACAGCAGGAGTCTGACAGCTAGTGACTTTCCAAATGAGCTCTTAGATAAAGCAGTGTACATTTTACCATAAGACGGTTCATTTTGTTGTTGTTTTTTAATGTGTGTAGGTGTTTTGCCTGCTTGTATGTAAGTGCACCATATGCATCTTGTGCCTGTAGAGGCCAGAGGACACTGGATCCCCTGGAACTGGAGTGACAGTTAGCTGTTAGCCACCATGTGGGTACTAGGAACTGAACCCAGGTCCTCCAGAAGAATAGCTAGTGCTCTTAATCACTGAGCCATCTCTCCAGACAGGTTGATTTTGTTCTTAGAGTTCTAAGATTCTGACTAATGAAAACATATCACTGTAAACATTCTATATCCTCTTAGTTCTTAGAAAGCAAAGTTTATGCCAGGCGTGGTGGCACACACCTTTAATCCCAGCACTTGGGAGGCAGAGGCAGATGGAGCTCTATGAGTTCAAGGCCAGCCTGGTCTATGTATTGAGTTCCAGGACAGCTAGGGCAACAGGGAGACCCTGTCTCAAAAAGACCAAAAAAAAAAGGAAAGTTTATGTTTTAAATCACTTTTTTTGTTGTTGTTGGTTTTTTTTTTTTTTTTTTGGTCTTTTTGAAGCAGGGCCTCTCTATAGCCCCAGCTGTCCTGGAACTCACTGTGTAGACCAGGCTGGCCTTGAGATCTGCCTGCCTCTGCCTCCTGAGTGCTGGGACAACAGGAATGCGACACCACGCCCAGCTCTTAAATCACTTTTACAGGTGCCTTAATCTAGTAATATTAATACAAGTGGGCTTTTTGGTTGTTGTTTGTTTTTACTTTTGCTTTAGCAAAAGAAAGTGAAGACAAGGAAAACCTTCCCAAGAGGACATCTTCTGGTGGCTTCAAATTTACCTTCTCACATTCTCCCAGTGCCGCTAATGGAACAAACAGTACAAGCAGTAAATCTGTAGTAGCTCAGACACCACCCGCAAGTTCTAATGGGTCCTCTTCCAAAACTACAAATTTGGCTGCATCAGTAGCCGCCACTAAGGTATGTGAGAAAAGCACTAGGCACAGACTCTTCCATCTGTAAAACTGTTTCATGTTTATTGAAAAAAATTTACATTAAAAATTACAAAGAATGAAAAAAGTTACAGTGTCATCAGAACCTGATATATTGTTTAAATTCACGAGGTTTACCGTGGCACATTATTGAAATTGTACCATAAGCATATTTTTGTGTCTGCTTTTATTTATTAGAATTTTTGTGCTATTAAATCTGTTGGTAAACATAGACTTTAATTGTATTAGGTAAAAAATATAATCTATGTAAGCATCTTCTCCCTCCCCAAGCCCCAGTCCTGTATTATGGTATTTAATTGATTCTGTCACTTCATTGATCTAGTGTTGCAGTTTTAAATTATTCTGTTAAATAGGTTATTAGTGAAATATCTTCACACATACTGTCAAATTTCTCTTCAAAAAGTACCAGTTGATTTTTCTTTCTGCACTGTGTAAGAGTGCCTGGCTCACTGCAGCACCAACAATATTGTTAGAGTTTGTTTGTGACAGGGTCTTACTGGCTGGCCTCAAACTCAGAGATCTGCCTGTCTCTGCCTCCCCAGTGCTGGGATTAAAGGTATGAGCCACTAAGCCCAACTTGCTATAATTAGCTGTTGGTATGTTAGGTGGACAAGTAAGAGGCGCTATTGGAGTAGTACAGATTCATTCACCAGTACTTTATGTGTTGGGTAAAAGAGAGTGTATCTTTGCCACTTGTGTGCCCCCCTATCCATAGTAAGGATTAATGTGCTCTTCTATGTTTGTCTATTCACAGTGACTTTTAAAATTGGTTTATGTATTTTTCCCTTTATAAATTTTTTTTTTTAATTAGAAGAAGCATTTCATTACAACAGCTTTAACCTATTCAATAAAAATTTCCTGAGCTAAGATTGCATCTCTTTCAAAAT